GACGGACACAGACGAGACGGAGAGGGACGACCAGCAGCTGGAGGAGCACTGGTGAGGACAGATACATCAACCAGGGGATACATTGAAAATGGCATCCAAACAGAATCACAATATGATACTTTGGTTGTTTTGAACCTAAAACTTAACCAAAATATGGAAAAACTAAACTGCTTAATAAATAAAAGCTGAACTAAAACTAAACATTTAATCAAAGTATCAAACACACTAAAAACTAATTTGTTTTTTTGCTAATTTGATTTCAGCAAACTACTACATTTGTTTGCTAAACTAATTTTAGAAAACTAATTTTACTGAAAAAAAGTATTTTATGGCTAAAGTAAAGTAGCATAAACCTTTTTACCTTTGCACTTTTTAAAAAAAGTGCAAAAAATTTTTTTTTTTTTTTACAAAAGCTATTTGTGTCTTGAAGAACTAAATTTTATTCATCATGGCTTTTTTCTCTAGCTGCTAATTTGCTGGAGGCTCACAGATAAATTGGTTCTGATTTCCTTCATTTGAGGCAATCAGCCGATACTTGCATGAGAAATTGATCTTATCCTCCAATCTTTTCTGAATCCCCAAACGTCTGAAAATCAGTCACTGTCTAAAAATCAGTTGACATTATTCGTCGGTTCCTTAGAAAACAGCCGTTTTCCCAGATCTTCTCCTCACGTGTTCTCACAGTTTCACGTTTCGCGTGTCGTTTTGTGTGACGTGAGCAGCTACCACAAGAACAGCTTGAGCAAGGAGCAGCTGGAGGCGATCGTGGCTGAGCTGCAGAAGAAGGTGAAGGTGCTGCAGCAGCGGCACCGCCGGCACCTGGAGAAGCTGCTGGGGCTGGAGAACAGCGTGAGCCAGCTGAGGCAGAGCAACATGCTCAATGAGGAGCGGCTGCAGCTGCTGGAGAGGGTAAACATCCCAGTGAAACCGAGTCAAACTCAGGGCTCAGGGGCCGAATCTGGCCCACGACAGCTACTTAATGTGGTCCTCTAGATTCAATAAGCCAAGTTACATCAACTCCTTGAACAGCTTTGGTTGGGGCTTATGACAAAACATGTTCATTACCTATTTTGCTAAAAATCATTCTTAGATGTTGAGATTTTAGTCAGTTCTGCCTATTTTGTGCCGTTTTAGAGCATCTTGTCACTTTAAATCCAAATGAGCTGCTGCTGACCACCGACAACTCCCAACTCAACGTTTACACTTTTATGCAAACAGATGCAACGTTATTTAGTCAACAAGAATGCAGTAAGTAGCTTCTGGATGGCAAGGTCAACAACAAAACACTTGTCTTTTCCAGCAGCCATTGTACAGTGTATACACTGCAAAAACACGCAATCTTACTGATTATTTTTTGTTTAGTTTCCATTGTAAATATTGTAGTACACTTTAAAAAAAGACAAAAAGTAAATTAAAGTAACTTTTTAGCAAGATATTGGAGCTTTTTTTTTGTGTGGGAGTGTTTTCTTAAGGACTATTTTTATTTAATGGACTTTTAAGGCCTTTTTTTAGAAGCATTGTAGACTTAAATGGAAACATAAAAACGTGGAAAATGTGAATTTTGTTTAGTTTCCCCCCCATTTATTTAATGCTAGGTCCCACCTGCAGGTGGCAGCATTTCTTATTTTTATGACTGCTGCCAATGGCCAATGTGAAAAGTCATTCAATGTTATTAAACTTTAAGAAGCAGTTATCTAATGCAGATGGAGATATTTGCTAATATTTTAACAGATTAATGGGTTTTATTGATGTTTTTCTCTGTTGGTTCTCCATCAGGCGTATTTGCAGACGAGTGCGCCTGTGTCGGATGCCGGTGAGACTGTCGCCATCATCTACGGAGACGACAACGCTGCGTACTTTTACACTCCGCTGAGTGACGATGCAGGGATGGCGTTGAATATGGATGAAAAATGAAATGACTGGATATTCTGTCCGTGTCTGTGCCAAAATATTAACTAAAGGGGGGAATTTGGTTGTTTTCCATAATCAGAACTTTATTCATGATCAAAATAAGGTGATTTCTTCCTTCTCTTGTGAATAATGAATAATGGGGCAATACTGAATGTTTTTGTTATGGGCTCTGCTTTCTACTCCAACTCTTGTTTGACTTTTCTTTTTTTTTGCTTGTTAATTTATTTTTCTTTATAAATTAAAATAAATTTACAAAAAGTCTAAAGTTTCGGTTTTGCATCAAAGTCACCACAATTCAGTGAACTGCACTTTCTGCATGTGGATAGTTTGAAACAATGCATCATAACATTCACAGATGAGAACAAAATCTGCAAAAATGAGTAAAATTTACGTTTACGAATGATGTAACATGTTGGGAATGTCTCAGAAAATTGTTTAGTTTAAATAAAAACTGGGAATGCAGATTGTTTAACCCTTTCACTATAGTTCCTCTGTCTTTCCAGTAGAGGGCAGTAGAGCCCAAATGAGTTCATCACTGAAAGTCTGGTCCTGACAATTTACAAAGACCCAACACCTAATATTGCCATACATGATAGGAAATGCTAACAATTTATCATTTAATTTAAATTTTTAAAGAACAAAACCAGTTTCTGAGTGTGCTGAAATTTTTCTCTGTGATGAGATTTAAAGAAAAGAAAATACCAAACATGATTTTACAAACATTTAGAAAGTGAATCCTTAATTGGTTGCTCTTCATTTGGATTGGCAGCTGGACCAGCCAACGGATTTTAAAAAACACATCGACTAATTTCTTGTTGTTTTTCTATAATGTTTTGTCCAGATCACATCTAACCCAGGAATGGTGACCTGCGGGCTATTTTGCGGTTTTAAAATATATTACAAAAAACCTTATAAACCTTTTATGTATCTGTAATCTGGCTGTTGATTTCCAATCCCGCTCCATTTTAATTCCTCATTAACTGATTTCTCCAGTTGAATTTCAACCAGGCCAATCAGCGAACAGAACGAGTCACGTGGACGATGACGTCAATTTCCTGCGCTCCCTGTAGCTTTAGCAATGGGGTCAGAAGCAGCAACGCTTCCAAGCATGGGGTTAACACGAACAGCAGTCCGGTTCGGCTCGCTACTTCTCTCTTTGCGATGGAAGACGGTTGTTTACATCCTGGCCAATTTTCGGTAAACTTCATAGCATCGAACCAGCTCATTACGTAACGTTACGGCCAAATGGTTAGCTTGTTCCGCTAAGCCTATGGTAAAACGACAGGATAGCATACATGTTAGCAAACGTTTTCTTCATATTTTACAGCCAAAACACAAAAAATACCTCACAACAGCTCCATTCTTAACATTGCATGTATGCAGTGAGATAAGAATAGCTGCTAAATCTAGCTAAAAAAAAATAAATAAATGTTGCCCAAATCTTTAGCATTTGGGCTAAAGTTCTGGACCTGCAGGGTTTGCATCTCTTTTGGGATAGTCAGGTAATTTTTGGCCTTCTAAAATAAGACCTTTGCAGCAAGAAACTTAGTAAGTTGTTACATTTACTTGAGTAGCTTTTTGGAATTAGTGTGCTATTAGGATACTTTAGTTACCCTGTACTTTTTACTTTTCTTGAGTAAAAAGATGTTATAGTAGTTCTACTCTGTCCACTCCACCCTCTCCCCTGAAGACAAAGAGTTAAAACCGTAACTCTACAAGAAGGATGTCGGGTCAGTTTCTGTTCCCACTGAGTGGACACAGTGAGTCTGTTAATCTGAAGGTGGAGTTTCCTCATCCACCTTCAGGGTCCAGGCCTCCTCCCTGCCCTTCACATTCCCCAGTATCAGTCACGTGAGCAGAGTTTGGCCAGAACCAACGGAGCACGACAAGACACACTCACAGAACCTCCTTTCTTCTCTTTTCCCGCAGCCGTCCAGGTATGTGATTAGATAGCGTTTCATCGGCGCCCCGGGGGTTTTGGTCAGCGTTCACCAACTTTACTTTGTGTTTGGTTCAAAACGACCTGAACCTCCTAGTCTCATTGGAAATTATTCACGTTTCCTGGATTAGTCGTGCAAATCAGAGATCCAGTGATTAGTTTGGCGATGACCAAACATGCCAGAAGGTCTTTAACAAGTCGGTGGAACAGAAAATTATCTTTCACTGCAGCAAAAACACAAAATCTCAACAAGAAGTTTTGATCTAGTTTGACGTGGAAATATCATAGCACACAAGAAATCAAAACTAAGTTTTTAGCAACATATAGGAGCTTATTTTACGTCAATAATACCGTAATATTGATGAAAAAGTGCTTGCTCCACTGGCAGATTATTCCACTTACAGGAAAAATGTTTTTATGTGAAATGACCTGCCAGTATAACTAGTGCTTTTTAAGGATTCTTTTTAGTAGTAAGTATTTTTGAGTTTGAATTACAAATTTAATCAATATTAAGAAATTATTAAGTTAAAACAAGCTCCCATGTTGCTGAAAAGTTCCTTATTTCATGTGTTACAATATTTCACCTTTTATTAGATTTCGTTATGATTTGTGATGAACAGAATTTGCACCATTATTGCTAATTTGGATTGTGAATAATAGCCTCCCTCATTCCGCCCTGCTGTGCAGTTTGTGACAGTAAAATGTCTCCTAATCTGTAGTTACTGTAACCTCCCCTCTGGTGCCGGTGACACCGATATGAGTAATCTGATATGGAATTATGCACCTCTCCCATATTTACTGTGAAATGCTCATCAATTTTTCATTTCTCTGCCTCTGAAACCAATCTGGAACATTTTGAAAGCGTGTCCACATCTGAAAACTGCAGTTTCAGTGTAAAAAGTTTGAGTAACTGGACTCCGCTCCCTTTGTGCTCCTCCTCACCCCGGCCTGTAAAACCGATCTTGTGGCTAATCGCTAACAGCCGCGTTGCCACCTTGACGTAACGCGGTCCTCAGGGATTGAATGTCGAGGTTTTGTCTTACGAAGCTTTGGCACACGCTCCATCATTTCTGATCAACGCCGAGGTCATTTTCTCACCTGGACTCGCTGCAGAAAGCTTCAACTTTTAACACAAAGCCAGACAAATAAGCAGCTTGTGACACTTTTATTAAAAAACAAACAAACATCACAGGAGTGAGTGTCAAAGACGTCAAGGTAAATTAATACGTAATGTCGCAAAACACCATAATCTCTTCACCACAACAAACTAGCAGTTGTGTTGAATACAGTTATTATCTGTGTTTATGTTCCTACTGGAACTCCCTTTACTGGAAATTCATCCTTTTTTTTTATTTAAAGTGGGTTTTGATGATAAAAATCAGAGATCAGTTTTCAGTTGCATACATTAAAAAGCTACAATCTTATAAAATGAACTGATTTTTTACAGTGAAAGACTCTGAAAATGACAGCGCACAAAGAAATTTGAATAAACATGCGTTTTGTATAAACAGTTTCTACACTATAAAAACACTAAATTTCACAAAGTATTTTTTCCCCCAGCTTTGAGCAAATATATCATTTCACTTAAAAGAAGACTCAAGTAACTTTTCATTAAGACAAAGGAGCTGGTTTTAAGTAATTAATTCCTTAATATTGATCATTTAAATGCTGTAAATCAATGGCTTTATGTAATCTGTTTAGATGGAAACCTTCAATACTATTTTGAAGAAATAATTGAATTAATTTTTAAATATTTTGTACTTAGGGAAGAATGTTTTTCTGATACCAGTGGAGCAAGTACTTTTTAAAATCTATATTTAGGAATTATTGACTTAAAACAAGCTCCTAAAATGTAATTTGTATCTTACTTAAAGAGTAATAAGATATTTTCACTAAAAATTAGACCAAAAAAATAGGTAAAAATTTGTGTTTTTCACTGAGAAAACATTTTTGGTCCAGTTTCTAGTGCAAATAAATGAGTACACTTGAAATAAGACAAAACTAACTTACAAGTAACTTATTAGTAAGATATAGGAGATTGTTCTGAATTAATATTTTATGAATATTATCAAATTATTTCATTTATAACAAAATATTTTCCACAGTGTTTTAAGTTACATAACTTGCCAGAGGAACTTGTACTTTTTCCATTTTTATTAAGAATAATTGCCTTAAAACAAGCTCCTGTATTTTGCATAAAAATTATTTGAGTTAGTTTTGTACTATTTTAAGTGCACAGAGATATTTGCACTAGAAACTAGATGGAAAAAAAACCTGGTAAGATTTTGAGATTTTGCAGTGTCATTCCACTGGCAGATGTCTTGCTGTAAAGTGGAGCTGGTACTTTTTTAACTAAACATTTAAGCAGTATTGACATAAAACAAGCTCCTGAAAGTTACTTGTTAGTTTGGTCCTCAGGAGAATATTTGCAGAAAAAAACTAGACAAAAACTCTTGGTAAAGTTTTGTTTCTGCAGTGAAATTCTTGTTTTCTTCAAGCCCCCTCCCGTCCGGACTCAGTGTTCCTGTGGGACCCGTTCGTGTTCGGCCTCCACTCATACGTAGTCCTTTCTCTCTAAAACCGGGCCGCCCACGGACCGGGCTGAGTACGCCATCCTGGAGCTGTTGTACCTCGTCTCCCGAGGCGGACAGGAGCAGCAAAGAAGTCCTCCTCCGAGAACCAGGAGCGCGGCGGCGCCCCAGCCGACGTACAGCGCCGCCCCCAGCTCCCGCCGCTGGGCGTCGGTCAGCAGCGGGTTGTAGAAGTCCCTGATGATGGTGTGGGCCGACCAGGAAACGGGGATGAGCTGCATGGCGCCAGAAACGATGAACAGCACCCCGGATACGATGATCACCCTGGCCTTGGAGGCCTCGTCCTCGATGCAGTTGGTGCACTTCGCCCCGGCGATGGCCACCAGCACGGCCAGGATGGCCAGCAGGATGGAGATGACGGTGAGGGCGCGGGCCGCCTGGAGGTCCGGCGACAGCGCCAACATGGAGTCGTACACCTTACACTGCATCTGGCCTGTGCTCTGCACCACGCAGCTCATCCACAAGCCCTCCCAGATGATCTGCGCCGTCACGATGTTGCTGCCGATGAACGCCGTCACCCGCCACATGGGCAGGGCGCACGCCACGATGGCGATGATCCATCCCAGGATGCACAGGGAGATGCCAATCAGCTCCAGTCCTATAGACATACTGGCTGCTGATGTCGCCCAGTTGGTGTTGGTGAGTGTGTGATGATCTGTTACCCGAACTGGTAAAGTATCGGTTTTATACCAGCGGGTTGGAGCAGGGAGGAGTCTGGGATGGAGGTGACGTCACTGTGAGGAGAGGAAGGACCTGGAGACTCTCTGGACTCTCTGCTATCGGCTTACAGGACGAGCGCCACAAAGGGCCTGGCCACAAAGAGGCTCTTCACAGCCGAAAGGCCGTACACTGCAAAAACTCAACGGCTCACCAAGAGGTTTTGGTCAAGCTTGAGTGAAAATGTCTTGATACACTTAAAATAAAACAAAGCTGATTTAGAAGTGACTTTTCAGCAAAATAGGAGCTTTTTATTTAAAGCCTATAACTACTTAATACTGTTTCTGAAACAGTTCTAGTTCCACTGGCAGATTTTTTTACTTATAAGTGAAATAATTTTATTCACAGAAATCAATAAAGGTCTCTATAAGGTGTTCAAGTCTGAGATCTTAGGTTCTATTTCAGACCAATTTGTTAAAAAACTTCTAACTTTTCATCAGTCTTGCTACAAATTACTTTGGTTCACTGCAAAAACACAAAGTCTTATATTGTTGCTCTGGTTTTAGTGATTTAGTACACTTGAAATAAAACAAATCTAACTTGCAAGTGACTTTTCAGCACAATAAAGGAACTTGTTTTAAGTTAGAAAAATTTCTGACAGATTTGTTCAAGTAAAATGGGAAAAAAATTTGCTAAGAGTGAAATAATTTTCCACAGGATCTAATACTTTTTAAAGCCATATGAAGGAATTGTTGAGGTAGAACATCATTTATCTTACTGAAGGTTACTTGTAAGTTTTTTTCTTTCTTACTTCAATTGTACTAAGATATTTGCGATGGCAACTAGACCAAAAACACATAATGCAACTCTGTCTTTGCAGTGTGGGCTCCAGGGACTCGGTGTAATTATTTATTGGTTAGAATGGTCTAATCAAAGTCAAGACATGGGTCAGAATTGAGAAACTAGGGCAAGACTTACAAATTGTTCTTTGTTGCTATTTAACGTTTTAATCTTTCACAAATATGTGAAAGTTTGCGGTTTTAATATTGAAAACTATGAATAGTTTTATCATTCACTTCAGTTGAGAAAAAATCAGATTTCTGCAGCTGAAGTGAAAATTAGCGTTGGATTTTGGGGCATTTTTATGAGTCAGTCTGTCTCCAGATTGTCACTGGGTTTCTTCGGAGTCTGGACAGTTTCCAGAGGAATGCCGCCATTCCTCAGCCTCACTCTGCTGACTGAAACCAAACAAGATGGCTGCCTCCTGCGGACAGCTGACCACACTGCCAGTTATCACAAAGTCAACTCATAAATAAGAAAGGTGGACATGCCACACTTTAGGGCTTGCTGGAAGAAAATCACTTTTACCTTTTCAAAGCAGAGGCCCAGCAGTTTGGATTTCTGGGATCTTCGATCTTTACTGCAGTAAAGATGTAGCTTCTATATTAAATGCTCTCTGGTGCCACTTTTTAAACTGTTCAGTCAGTTTTTAGCTCTAACGTTTAGCAACAAGAATTACTGCACTTGTTTTTGCCAGTTTCATGACAGGCTGGGTTGGTTTCGTGGTTTTCCAATCAGCATCATTGATACATTTACGCAACAAGTATTTGTTCAAAATTCTTTATTGTTTAGAACTGTGGTAAGTAAAATTACACATTTCTACAATCGATTTTAAATGTAAAATAAGTGGATTGACTTTCGCTAAAAAATGCATGTTTCACATATAAAAAGGTAAAAAGTGGAAGATGAAAACCATTTCTGTGACTTTTGTTTGCTTGAAATACAAATCAAATTAAAAACATGACAAATCTTCAGGATTATTTTCTAACAGCACTTTATTAAGCCAACAGCATTTTGACATGCAGACATTCCAGATGAGCTCATTAAAAATCACAATATTTGTTTTCTTTTGGATGCAAAGCATTAACAAACGTTCTAAACTACTTTAAAAGAAACTTGAATGAAATCACCAATTCTGCAATATTTACTCAGTTTCAGTGCTTCCAGTGTAAACCTAAGAAATAAAACTGATGCAGGATTTTCACTGAATAGAAAGAAAGTTGCATTTTTATGGTTTTTCTCCATAAATAAAAATAACTAGTAGTAAAAACTACTTGACCTCGTGTCAGTTAGTGAAAAACAAAGTTTGAACAGCAAAAATACAAAATATAGCCAAGTATTTTTCCCTTAATTTCTCATGAGAATTTCCTAGTACATTTGAAATAAGGCTAAAATAAAGTAATTCTTCAGGAAGAAATAGTTTGATTTAATTCCTTAATCTTGATGAAAAGCTCTACTTCCACTGGCAGATTATTTCACTTATATTCCCATGTTGTAATTTAAATAATCTGCCACTGGAATTAGAACTTTTTAAAACCAATATTTAGAAATTATTTACTGAAACCAAGCTCTTACATCTTGGTGAAAAGTTACTGATGAATTAGTTTTGTCTTATTTCAAGTATTTTTTTTAGATATTTGCACAAGAAACTAGACAAAAATACTTGGTAAGATTTAGTTTTTTCAGTTTTTAGACATTTTCGTCCAATTCTGTTCCTGGAGTCTTTGATGAGTTGGTACACGTTGGTCGGCGCATGAGAGCGCAGCAGATGTTGCCTCAGACGTAGTTTCTCCTGTCATAGCCGCTCGGTACCACCGATCTGGTTTGGGAGTATGGCGGCGTTCTGTACCTTTTCTCCGGCTCCCGAGGGCAGCTGCAGGACAGGATGCCGCCTCCAATGAGCAGGAGGGCAGCGGCGGTCCAACCCAGATACAGCGCAGCACCGATCTCCCTCTTCTGGGGATCCGGTATGACTGGACTGTAGAACTCCATGATGATATTGTGAGCGGACCAGGACACGGGGATTATCTGGGTGAGGGAGGCCAGAACGAAAGCCGCTCCGGAGGCGATCATCGCCCGCGCTTTAGCCGCCTCTTCGTCCACGCAGTTGGTGCACTTTGCCCCCGTGACGGACATCAGGAGTCCCAGAAGCCCCAACACAATGGAAATGACGGAGAGGGCGCGGGCGGCCTGGAGGTCGGCTCTCAGAGCCAGCATGGAGTCGTAGACCTTGCACTGCCTCTGGCCGGTGCTCTGGATCACGCAGCTCATCCAGATGCCCTCACAGATGCTCTCCGCCGTCACGATGTTGCTGCCGATGTACGCCGGCACTCTCCACATGGGCAACGCGCAGGAAACGATGGCGGAGATCCATCCCAGCAGAGCCAGAGTCACGCCTAATATCTCAAGTCCCGCTGATGGCATGTCTGAAGAAATCCCCTCCACGATCAGCAGCCACCGGCGGATCTAGTGAGCGTCCAGCGGATGGAACTGCCAAATAAGCAGCAGGTTCTTTTAAGGGAGGAATCGAAGGCGGATCCTCTTGGAGAATTCAGATTCTCTCTCGTTTGAACAGTGGGAAGCTCGGCCTTGGAATGTAAACAGCTCCAGTTTAATCATTCAACTCCCACAGCACTGATAGCTTTTTGGGTGAGGGGCGTAAACAGGTGTAGAGTGTTTAAGACCTAACAGGGAATGAATGACTGAAACTGAAAGCCTCTGCTCCTGCCGAGAAGCACATTCAGTCATCTTAAAGGTGACTTATTGTGCTTCCTAGAACAGATCAGGTTAGGTCTCTTAAAATCATTCTGAGATGATGTGTTTGTAGTCTGCTCAGTTCAGACTACTTTGAGCTGTTTTCGGGCCTCTGATACTTTAATTTAGAATATATTGCTCCTGGCCACGCCCCCATCTCAATGTTCACAATTGCATATGAAAATAGCTGCAAATAAATGTGTAATTATACAGCCATACATCTTTGAAAAGCACTGGTGGAGCCTCCTGCACAACCAACAAGCACGCAGCAAGTGATTTCTGGATTGTAAGTCAACAACAAAACACTGGTCTTTTCCAGCAGCCATTGTACAGGGCATACATTCCTAAAACATACAATCTTACCAAGTATTTTTGGTCTGTTTTTGTGCAAATATTTTAGAGCACTTCAACAAAGACAGAACTATTTACAAGTAACTTTCAGAAAAAGTTACTTGTAAATTTCATGTATTTTTCAAATGTTAAGTGAAAAGATCTGCCCATTTAAGAAGTGCTTTTTTATTAGTATTAAGGAATTATTGACTTAAAACAAGCTCATGTATCTTGCTTCAAACTTACTTGTAATTAATTTTGTCTTAGTTCAAGTGTAGTAAGATGTTTGCGCTAAAAACTAGAGAAAAATGCTGTACGCTGGTTTTACTGCAGTGAACAGCAGTAAAACCAGTTAACCAAATGTGCTGGAGCTCTGTTGGTTGCTAGGTAACAGACAGGACCCTGCTGATTTTTGAAGTTTTTTTTTTTTTTTGCCAAGAACATCTGGGGGTTTTTTTAGAAGCAGTAGAGGCCCAGACTTATGGACAAACTGTATTAATCTCACCGTGGGGAAATTCATGTCACAGCTGCAAAGAACAAAATTGCTAATTGCAAAAAGCAACTAACAGTGACAAGCAATCAAATCACAATAAAAAACAGATTAACTAAAAACTATACACCAAGACAAAAGTCTGGTAAACATTCTGTGAATAAACTACACTGGTGACACATTCGAAACCTACAAAATGACAAAAAGCTAAATAAATGCAAGGATTCCAAGGACAAGAATAGCAAACAGAGAATGAGCTGCTGTGGTGGAGGCTGATGAAACTCTGTGCACATAGTTGGGGGATGGTCTTATCACTTTCCCCTTCGCAGGTGAAACTTGACTCTGCTAGTTTCAAAAAAATTAAGTTTCAGTCAAATGGAAGGAAGTGAATCAGACTGATAAAGAAATGATGAGCAGCTGAAGGGGAGTAAACGAATGAAACGGAACAAAGATGGAGCCTAAACAATAACGGAAATAAATACTAAATCCAAGAAACACATCCAAGAAGGAACAACTTGAACTAAAAGAAGAAATAAACAAAACGGGGAGATAAATGCAAAAGAGCAAACTCAAAAGAGAAATAATACGACAAAAACATAAAATATTACAAAGTATTTTTGGTCTAGTTTCTAAAATAAGTGTACTTATTTTAAGTACACTTAAAATAAGACAAAACTAACCTGCTGTGAACTTTTCAGCAGGATGGGAGCTTGTTTTAAGTCAACAGCTCTTTAATATTGATGAAAAACATTAGCTTCACATGTAGATTATTTCACTTATAACAAGGAAAAACATACTTGTTCTGAATTGAGTAATCTGCCCACGGAAATATTGTCTTATTTAAAGATATTTGCACTAGAAACTGGACTTAAAATACATGGTAAGATTTTGTGTTTTTGCAGTAAATAAGAAGTCAATGCCAGGACATAACAGAACCAAAAGTCCAAAATGTTAAGGGAGAAGCAGTACATGGCAGAAATACAACGTAGAGAACTGAAAAGGGAAACGGGGAGAAAAAAAAAGCAAAAATAGTGAAACTAACTAATTTCTAAATTAAAATATTAAATGATCTGAACTTATATAGCGGTTTTCCAACCATTTTGACTAGTTAAAGCACACAAACATTTCTACACCGACGCCCTGATCAGTAAGCAGTTTGGGGTAAAGTGCCTTGCCCAGAGGCACATCGACACGTGGCAGGAGGAAACTGGAATCTAACCTATAACCTTCCAATCACAAGATGACTACTCAACCCACAGAGCCACAGATAAAAAAAAATTTTAATGATTAAACCTAATCTTTTTTAATCATTATTAAAAATGATGACTTAGATTATTATAACTTCTTGAAATGTTTTTTGCTGCGCTCTTTCTTTTGATTGGCTGTCAAATAGCTCCACCAGCTAGCACAGCTAGCTTCTGTTTCTGTCAAGAAAAGGACGAAAGCAACTGTCAGATGTCCTGCTACAAAATCAGAAGGCAAGAGACGACATTTAAACGACTAATAATTACTAAATAGTGACTCAAAGTGAGACAGTATCTAAACGTCGACGTTTCTTCGCCTGTTTTGTAGTGTTAGCCAGAAGCTAATGCTATTCGGGGGCCGTGACGTTGGAAAGTTCTGGAATCCGCGATGTTTGCCATCCACGAATGTGTGTTCAGCTAACTAAGTGAGTAACATTTTAAAGTTTTGCATGATTTGCTGATTATAATAACCAGTAACTAAGTTGAGTTGGATTTAGCTCATTTCAAACGAGTTAAATTAGCACTGAGCTAATTCCGAATTAACAGTAGGCTTGTGCAGATTTGCTTAATATATTTTTATTTAAGATGCTGGTTGAATTATGCACTACTTTTAATTCATTACTAACAATTGCCCTGTTTTAATAAGCTGATGAGAGAAGTTGAATGAATATTTTGGAACAGATTATATAACCGATGTGATCTTTTGCTTATTTAATTTATAGAACTGTGCACTAAGAAAGTATCATGTGCATCAAACTGAGCAGAACTCCTGGTGAATCATAATTTTTTGACCAAATAGCCAGCCTTTATGTCAGAGAGGTAGCAACTAGATAGCTGTGTAACCAAGTTTCTGTTTGCAATCACACTGCATTATGTGTCACCCCACAAAATCCGATTATAATCAAAGATTTTGTGAAGTGTCCTTTGTCATAGTGAATGAAAGCCAGAAAACAAAATGGAGATTTTTCCAGGACCTGGTAGCCCCAGGAGCAACGAGACTGTAGCTCTACAGATAAGCTGAGCTCATGTGTTAAAATATCTGCCTAAACGTCCATTTAAATCCTCATGATATACATAATTACAGCTACTTGAGGACTCCTTGCTTTCCTAAACGAGTTCATGGTTCTACTCTCATATTTGACTTTACATAAATGTTTTTGCGACTGACTTTGTAGATAAGCTTCCTCTTAAATGTAAGAGGAAGCTTATATATCTTTTGATATTTTTATTTTCATTTTATCATGAAGTTGTGTCTACACAGGAAAGTTAAATATCTGGTCACTGAATGGAGGTTTCTACCACGTTCAGATGAGTCTGAGCTAAATAAATTACCTCTAGCTTTTCACTGCTGTGTGTTTTTGCAGTCACTATAAACACATAGCAAAACCACAAAAGTGTTTTTGATCTAGTTTCTGCAGAAATGTTAGAGCAAAACTAACTTAGATGCAACTTTTCAGGAGGTTTGTTTGTTTTGACTCAATTATTCCTTGACATTGATATAAAAAGTATTACTTCTACTATCAGGTTATTTCACTCATAAGACATTTTTTCCATGTTATTAGTGAAGTAATCTCCTAGGAGAACTACAACGGGGTTGCTAGATAACAGCACAGTACAATATTACCAGTGAAACTCAAAACTTTTCCATCAATATTCAGGAGTTATTTGCTTAAAACATGTAACTTTTCATGCTGAAAAGTTTCTTGTCAGTTAGTTTTGTCTGATTTTCAATGTACCAAGATATTTGCACTAGAAACTAGATTAAAGTACTTGGTGATGTTTTGCATTTCTGGCTTCATTTGTGTGACTTCCAGGAAGCAAAATGGTGCAATTTAATCTGAAACGAAGCTTTTCGCTTCCGTTTTATCTCAACGTCACAACATGTAGGAGTTTTTTGAAGCACTTTCCTTTATTTTCATGTTCATGTTTCTGTAAGTTCTGGATGCTTCTTGCCTCAGTTGTACGGCACCTTAAGGAGGGCGAGGTAAACAATTTCAAACGACTTATCAATAGACCCTTTGTGTCTTAGTTCGGACTCAGTTACACTCCAAATTTCATCCCCCCTGCGAACAGATGGAGACCTTTATCTCTTAGTCAGTTTCGCCTTGCAAATGGAGGACAGGTCACAATGGACGGAGAGCATAAGGCGCTCCTCAGAAACAAGCCCCGCATTGTTCTTTACCTGCACTTACGCTGAAATAAAGCTCCTCATTTTGGCTCGCACCAGAACCACTCTGATTGGTCAGACTCTGCTGACCGACGGGCCTGGCATGAGTCCGAGCTTCTGCATACCGAAGTAATTTGGAGCATCATTTTGGTAACAAATTAGAGTAAAATAAAAGCTAAAAACACAGAATTTAAAACTTGGTTTTTCATTTTTAGGGACAAAATCTACATTTAAAATGTACAAAAAGGAATTTTTCAACATGTTTGTTGGTCTAGTTTCTAGTGAAAATATCTTAGTACATTTGAAATTACACAAAACTAACAACTTTTTTAGTAAGATATACGAGCTTGGTATCAGTAAATATTTCCTTGATGTTGATAAAAAGCGGTAGTTCCACTGGCAAATTATTTCACTTATAGCAAAACTTTTCTTCCATATTACAAGCAAAATAATTTTCCTGTGAAACTAGAACTTTTTATATCATTATTAAGAAATTATTTACCTAAAGCAAAGTCTATATCTTACCGAAATTTTAATTGTAAGGTTGTTTTGTCTTATTTCAACTGTACTGTAAGATATTTGCTATACAAACTAGACAAAAATGCTTTGTAAGATTTTATGTTTTTACAGTGTACTGAAGAAAGTTCAAAGTTTTCAAGTAATTATAAATTTTAGTAACACATTAGTTGTAATGAAAAGCTAAAATCTCAGATGGAAACATTTTACAGGAATATTTTCAATGTTTAGGAACAAAATCTGCATGAAAAATGTACAAAAACAAAATCTATTTTGGTCGGGTTCTAGTGGGACGTCTCAGTTCACTTTGAGTTAAATAAAGTCAAGTTTATTTGTTTCACACATTTCAGTTACAAGGCAGTTCAAAGTGCTTCACATCATAAACGTCATGCAGTCAACAATTATGAAGCAGTTAGTAGACATTACATTTGGTCAAATATAAAACTCATCATTTAAATTCACACCAAATATATTGATCAATGACTCACTTATTGCTAATCAAAGATAACTTTAAAGGGCCTTCATTTAAAGGAACTCTGTGTTTCAGCTGGTTTGGAAACACCAAACTAACTTTGAAGAAACTTTTCAGCAAGATTTTAACTCAATAGTAATTCATTATTGATTAAAAAGTGTTAATTAGTTCCACCGGGATATTATTTCACATGTTGTGTTTTTCTCTTAAGAATTATGAATTTAAAAAAAGCAACCTACAATCTTAGTCCTGTCTTATTCCAAGTGCAAATGTAAACTAGACAAAAATATTTGATAAGAGTTTCTGTTTTTACAGTGTACTGAAGTAATATGCATGAAAGATCCAAAGTTTTGAAGTAAATGGTAATTTTAATAACAATTCAGTCTTAAATAAAAGCTACAGGAACAAAATCTACATGCAAAATGTCTTTGAGTACAAAAGAAATCATTTCACTGTAAAAACATAAAATCTTACCAAGTATTTTTAGTTTTAGCACATATGAAATAAGACAAAACTAATTTATAATTAACTTTTCAGCAAGATAGAGGAGATTGTTTTAAGTCGATAATTTCTTAATATCGATGAAAAAGTTCTAGTTTCACTGGTTGATATTTTATTTGTAACAAAACGCTTTTTTCCAATATTAAGTGTCTTAATATTAAGGAATTATTGACTTTGAATGAGCTATTAAATCTATCTGTAAAGTTGTAAGTTGGTTAATTCTTGTGTGCTAAATTATTTGACTAGAGAAAAATCACCTGGTAAGATATTTTTATTTTTGCAGTTGTCGCAAAAATCATCACAATTCTTGCTTGCTTTGAACATTTTAATTAAGAAATTGATATTTTAGAAAACTTTACACTAAACGATAAATGATTGTCCTAATCAAAATTAGATTTTTATGAATAAATTTAGTTGTAAAACAGTATAAATCATATTTCATCTTCAAGACTGAAGCTCCTATTTTGTTGAAAAGTTCCCTGTAAGTCAGTTTAGTTTTGCATTTTAAACAGAGGAAAATACTTGATTCCCTGTTCTTCTATCCACAAACATTTCCAGTCATGTCAGTCGTTCAGACGTAGTCCTTCCTGGTGTATCCGTTGAGCGAAGTGCTTTTGACGGCTGAGTAATCCACCCTGGCCGCTGCGGATGCGGCGCCTCTCGGCGATGCTGCTGCTGCTGCTGCTGCTGCTGCTGCTGCTGCTGCTGCTGCTTTAGACGGACAGGAGCAGCAGAGCAGGGCGCCGCCCAGGATGAGCAGGCAGGACGCGGCCCAGCCGAAGTACAGAGCGTTCCCGAACTCCCGCTTGCCCGTCTCCTCCAGCATGGGGTCGTAGAAGCCCAGCACGATGGCGTGGGCCGTCCACGACACGGCCACCAGCATCAGCAGCCCGGCCGCCACGAACGTCACGCCGGCCGCCACCACCAGCCGCGGCTTGCTGCTCACGTCCCGCCTGCAGTTGGTGCACTTGGCGCCGGCCACCGCCAGGCCGATTCCCGCGATGCTCGTCACCATGGAGACGACGACCAGGGCCCGGGCGGCCTGCAGGTCCGCGGGAAGCCCCAGCATGGACTCGTGGACGCGGCAGTGCATCTGGCCCGTGCTCTGCACCGAGCAGTTCATCCACAGGCCCTCCCAGATCACCTGGGAGATGACGATGTTCTGGCCGATGAAGGCCGCCACGCGCCACATGGGCAGGCCGCACGCCACCATCACCCCCAGCCAGCCCGCCACCGCCAGGATCAGCCCCAGGATCTCCAGGCCTGCAGAGTACATGGTGGGAGGACGAGGCTCGGCGGGACACAAGACCTTCTGTGTCTGGAGACAATATCGGATCTCTGGAGTTAAAGCGAGGAAGAAGGAGAGGGAGAAACGGATTCCTTTTACAGCTTGGAGGACTGAAGGTGGAGTCAGCTTCAGGTGGTTCACCTTTAAACTTTGGTACACTGCAAAAACACAATCCGACCAAGGAGTTCGGTCTAGTTTGTCTGGAGAAAACCAACTTTAAGTAACTTTTCAGCAAGAAATAGGAGCTTTTCTTTAAGTCAGTAAGTCCTTACTACTGATAAAAAAGATACCACCAGTTTCTTGTTTAACTTATGACAATATATTTGCCCATTTTAAGAGAAATGATCTCCCACTGGGACATTTAATCCATTGGAGTGACTTAAATTGTGCTAAAGAGAGTTTCCATCGAATTTCTACCGCAAATATCTAAACGAAAATAGACCAAATAAATTCCAGTAACTGTTGCAAAAGACGTTGAAAGCTGCCCAGTTACTTGCTGGACTTTCATTACAAATTTTAAAGAAAGGGTTTGAAATAAAACAAGTGTTTTAATCTAAATTGAATTTCCACAAAAAAAATGTAATTAATAAATATGTTCTGTTCCTGTTAGTAGTAAAATTGTGGCATATATTCATTCTTTTAGATTTACTGGATGGGGACCAGATATGACAGCCTGGCAGAAAAAGATTGGCTCATTGTTTTTCTGCGTTAAAATGACAAAACAACGTTTTGTTTTTAGCTGCTCAGCCATGCAACTAGAAGCAAAAACAAACCTTAATTTCAAGGTTTTTTCCTTCAGTGTTGCTGGTTTTTGGCATGCACACATCTAAAAAGAATAGAAGTTCATTTCTGTGGACTTCAGCGGTAAATTGAATGAAAAAATGTAAAGTTTAGAGGTGAATGCATGCTGGAAGAGTCCATTAAAGCTGCTTTCATCTTTATCTTTTCTTCTTGCTTCCTGCTGAACAGATCAGAAACCCTGAACCAGGAATTATCTCCTAAATGATCCTTTCACCTGACGGATAGCAGAATCTCTGAGGTTAACTAACAAATGAGGAACTCTCTGTCATTAAAGACTTTCTACTAATTAACAAAGGTCACCGGGGGTCAGAGGTCAAGTCAAGGATCTTTGCTTTCATTGTGTTTTTGTCTGATACACTGCAAAAATACAAAATCTCACTGAGTATTTGTGTCTAGTTTCTAGCACACCTTATTTTTAAGTGTAATAAAATATTTGCACTAGAAACTAGACAAAAATACTTGTACAGTGTTAAACACACAACAAAAACTGGACAATATTCATAAAAGAAAGCAGAAAATGTGATTTATTTCCCAATATGTCTTTGAATTAAGCTGTTATTGCATAGTTCCACCGACAGGGGGAGCCAGTCTTTCCTGTGGTCTGTTCATTTGTCTATATGCTCAAAGCAGGAATTTGTTAGGATTTATTTGCCTTTAATGTAAATTCGAAACTGCTTTATTCAAATAAGAACCAGGTTAAAAATAAAACACCTTTAATGTGCAACATGTGATACTTTGTTGGCTCAGCTTGTTTTTCTATTCCAGCTTCCAGTTTTTTGGTTCACATTTCCATCAGTCATACATTTTCCTGACATTTGCTGAAACGCATCATAGATATGGACGCTTGCTCTCAATAATTTGATGACGTTGCTGAAAAGTTTTAGTTCCGCATTCAGATTATTTCACGTATAACATTTTTCCCCTTGTTGTAAGTGAAATCATCTGCATGTGGAAATAGTATTTTTTTAATCAATGTTTAGGATTCAACACCAGCTCTTGTGTCTTGTGGAGAAGTTATTTGTACGTCTTATAAAATATTTGCAGTAGAGATTTTGTGTTTTTGCAGTGCATTTCTGAAACGCCTGATCTCAGGATTCGTCAGAATCTAAAACATGTGATGCAAACTGTCAGACAGTTGAGATGAAAAGATAAAATTGTGCTTTTCAACATAACGGTGCGTTCAAAAATGGGTCAGACTTCTCATTGGATTGATTTTCTGAGGAAATAATAAAGCTTTGGAGCATCTTAATCATAATCCAGACGTAAATTCACATTAAGATTTGGTATAAATCTTGACGCTCCTGTGTAACCGGAGTTTTTCCAGGTTTTGTGGCGACGCCTGCATAAAGATGAAATCACAGGCATGAAAGTGTCTTTGGTATGAAACGATGATCAGATGAAAAAACAACAAAAACAACCAATTTTAGGTTGAGCTTTTTTACTAACACGCTAAGAAAAAAAAATTACGGGGATAAAGTCACATAAAATTAACTTTGTTCTCATGTTATTTCAACTTTATCCTCATAATATTGTGACTATTATTATGATTGCCTGACTTTATTCTCCTCATTTTATCTTTTCAGTTTTTATTTTGTGTGACTTTGACCATAATCCTCCTCCATACGATTAAATGTTGCAGGAATCCAACCAAAGAACCACGAACATCAACAAACCTTTTGCAGCCATCACTGCTAAAGTGTCAGATTCTTCATATAAAGTCACTTTTTGTTCTGCTCGAATCAAAAAGCTGAAATGTAACAAAAGAGGAACTAAAGCCCTCCAGCCGTTTCTCTCCTCCCTCTCGGTGATGCCATTGTTTCTCTACTTCATGATTTAACCGACAGCTTTCAGTGAAACATTTTGTTCCAGGAGTTTTAGGGAGTATCCACTTTGAACGTGTTGTAACTCGTTTCTTCTCAGAACGTTTTTTAAAAGCAGAGAAGTCACCTCAGGAGGTGTGAAGCAATCAGCAGAAGATTTCAGCTCAGATTCAGAGGAATGTTCTCCAGTAGACGGGTTATTAAAGAATAACTAAACCCAAATCAATCTTCTTTTTTTTTCGCTATCTGTATTTTACTCTGCAGATTGCAACATTTTTGCGTAAAATCTGGTTAAATTCTGGAAATCACACTTTAAACATTCATGGAGGGCAACTTGCATTAATCCTGCTCTGGATGAACCCAGAGACATTTTAGTTATTTAAAAAAAAGACTTTAAAAGCCAAAACCGTGATTGGAGTGGTAAAACAAACAAAGTAGAATAAAGAATAAAACAAATAAAGATCTCAGAAATATTTTTATCCTCAGTTTGAGCTGCTTCTGAAAACAACCCAAGCACTTAAAAAACTCATCCACTCATTTTTTGGCAACGATTACTTCGTTGTCTGGAAAGTTGATTGAAGACAAACAGTCGCATAACTGCGGATCTTTTTGCCGCCATCTTCATGTGTGAGTAAATGTTGAGTTTGGGGGCGTGGCCAGCAGCAGCTCATTTGGATTTAAAGTGACAGGACGCCTGAAATGGCTGAAAGTAGGCAGAACTGGGCAGACTGAGATTTCATTAAAGATGATTTTGTCAAACAAAATGTGATGAGCTGGTTTTTGTTTACATGTAATAACCTGTTCAAGGAAGCATTAAATAATCGCAGGGAGGTTATTTAAATCTCCAGTGGTATTGGTACGAGGAGATGTACCAATAAACTGTTTATGTCAAACATGCATTACTTATTCTGAAACCCGCAGAAGCAGAAAATCACATTTTGAGTCATGAGTTTGATTTTTTTCGCTAGCATCAAGGTTCAGTGTTTCCCTCGATGTTCTCAGAAGTTTTAACTTTTCATTAAAGTCTATATATTTTTTATTTCTACATAAAATTAAAAAAATATGCATATAACTTTTTTAAAAAAATACTTTTAAAAAATCAAATTTAGAAAACAGAGAGAAAAAGCTAATAATTAGATAATAATAATAAGCTACTATGGGAATAACATAGAAGAAGAAAAAAAGACTAAATAAAACAAACAAAAAGAAAACGTTTCTGTTGTGCAAAGTGGTCTGATTGTGGTTCTTCTTGTGTTGCAGCAGGAGCAGAAAACATGTCTGGACCGTTTCGTAGCAGCAGGTGTGCAGTCAGAGCTGGAACACCTGAGTTTCCAACTGGGTGTGGCAACCAGTCGCTCCACTTCGGAGAAGGTACTTCAGGTTTTCCTCGCAGTGCGCCTGACGCGGTTTTTAAAAACAAACACGAGAAACCTTTACACGTCGCTTCCGGGGCGAACCGGTTTATTTATTCAACCTCTTTTGTTTGTTTGTTCCTGTTTAGTTGTATGATGTGAATAATATGAAAATATGCGACCAGAAGAGAATCTGAACAATAACGCAGGAGATAAAATAAACGGTTGTTCCTTGAATCAAACTGAACTCTACAGTTTCGCAACGCAAAATTAAAAAGTGTTTCTTTTGCAGTTCACCTCTGAAACGGCGTCGGGTTTAAATCTCAAATCAAATCAGATCATTTCAATTGAACCCAATGAAAAAAAATCTGCTGCATGTTCATGTTACACTGCAAAAACACAAAATCTTACAAAATACCTTTGGCCTTGTTTGTAGTGGAAACATGTTAGTACACTTTAAATTAAACAAAACTTACCTACAAGTAACTTTCCAGCTAGTAACAAGAGCTTGGTTTAAGTCAACAATTCCTTAATGTTGATGAAAAATTACTACACAGATTATTTCACTTATAGTAAAATGTTTTTCAGTGAATTAATCTACCAGTGGAGCTAGTCAGTTTTCACCAGTAGTAAGTAATTATTAACTTAAATCAAAGTCATATATCTTGCTGCAAAGTGACTTTAATCTCAGTTTTCTCAGAACTCGGAGATTAAAATCAAAATTCTTCCATTTTAAAAAGAATTTGAAGAATTTCTTTTTTAAATTTCAGAATTCTTAAGTCTCAGATTTCTGAGATTAACGTCAAAATTCTTTGATTTCTTTTTCTCCCTTCCCCCCAGTGGCCCTAATTGTCTTTTTTTGCACAATAAACTATTATTTAATTCATGGATATTTCTTTACATGTGTACTATTACTGGTGTAATCCGGCTGTAATGATGTATTGATCGTAGAGACGATGTGAATCAGGACGTCATTGTTCATGTCACGCTCAGTGACGTTTTTACAAATAGCCACTGAAACTGTGACTCGTGGTGAGCAACAGAGCGTTGGCGCTCTGAGGCGTGGCGGCGCGTCACTCTGGCCACCAAACACATTTCCTTCCCCCTTCGGATCAAGGAAGCCGCTCGGAGCTAAATAACGTTCATGGCAGCTCTTTGTTAGTTTTGTTCCCGTTTCAGGCAGCAGATGCTTCAACAAATGAGATAATTGAATATCCTCACTTTGAATTGGCTGGATGAAGTGTTGAAGTCACCAGCAGCTCTTAGACTCTGCGGTCTGGGCTTGGTTCGGTTTACCTGCTGGTACTTGTTGCTTCTCTGTCTGGAATTTTCTCACGACTCTGTAGTCAAATTTATGCTGCAGAGACATGCAGCGAGTTTTTCTGTCTGCTTTCAAAACGTTGGCTACACAAAATGAAAAGTATTTTTACTTGTTTTTTATTAACCTGCGTATTTTCCTCTGGACAAATCCGAGCCCCTCTGAAACTATTTATACATCTTTAAATCTTTTTTTTTTTTTTTTTTTTTTTTTACAGTGTGTGACCCAAAGTAATATTTCTGGATTAAATGTCCCATATTTTTGTAATTTTTCTCAACAAGTTCTTTGAACTGTTCTTATCTTTTTCAAACTTGTGGATTTTAAATGGCTGCAGGTTTCAGGCATTGCAATATAAATGGTTGTCCAAGGTGTGGCCCGGGAGCCATTTGTGGCCCTTGGACTGATTTTGTGCAGTCCCCCAGCTGCAATGTAAAAAAAGATACATCCTGTAAATCCAGATGGAAACTTTAATTTATCAGGATCAAAACTACTTTTTACAGGAAAATGTAAAACAACAACACAAAGTATTTGCTTATCAAAAGACTTTCAGTGAACATCTGCATCAAAATCAGCTTTTGTTTTTTCTTAAACTCGGCTAAATGTAGCAAGCACTTAAAAAAATAAAAAATGACCCAAATCCTGTTCTTGTTACTGAAAATAATTTTATTCAATCAAGCCCCCCAAAAACCCTGAAAGCTGGATTTTTGGTGCAAAATCCACTATGATGTATTAGAGCCATTGTAAAACAAAAAAGAATAAATAAATGGTAGATTTCTGCCAAAAAACTCAGAAATTAATTTTCTAGAAGATTTTGGATCGTTTGGATATTTAGGCTGGGTTTTTTTGGCTTTTGAGTCCACAATTTTGGTGACAGAAAGTTTGGACACCCCTGCTGTTTGATTGGTAAGGAAACCAGTCGTTAGTGTTGAACATGATTAAAATCAAGTTTATTTGTAAAGAACGTTCCAGCAACAAGAAGGTCAAAGTGCTTCACACCATAAAAATACCACACAGTCACTACAGTAGATCTTGTCAGACACCATCAACAAAATCATCAACACACATCAAATATGTTGATCATTGTTCCAGCTGTTGTTAATCAGAGAAAACTCTTGATTCACAAGAGATTTTAGTCTTGATTTAGATGCCATTACTTTGGCTGTTTTGCAGTTTTCTGGACGTCAATTTGAGTTTTTTTAGTCCTGGGAATGTTCTTCAGGTGACAGAAGGCTGATTTTGTAACTATCTTTATGTGTATCTGAATGTTCAGACGCAGATTTCAGTAGTTTCTAGCTGTAATAACTGAAGTTGTGAATTTTGATTGTTCTCAAATCAACAGTATGCGATTGTTGATTTGAGTTGGACGCATCTACACGATGTTTCGGTTGACGCTAGTTGATTTCAACTTTAGTTGACTGTGTCTAGCTTTAGTTTTTGCAGTGATTTTTGGCAGATCTGAAAGAGTCTGTCCTCGGCATCTTAATTGCAGAAATTCCTGCGTCCCCCCCAGAACCCGATCTCCATGGCCCGACTCCGGTGCCTTTATCTGATCCCACCTCAGATAAAACAGAGTATTATATCCGTAAGAGCAGCGCCGGCCCTAAACACAGCATCCATTCATTTCTCTACCGCCCTCAGTCCCCCTATCTCTGGTCCCTTTTTTTCGTTGCAGCAGAAAATCTAAAGAGATTTTGCTTGCCATTTTCCAATCGTTTCCTAACCGATGTGTTCCCGTTGCGGTGGAAAAACGACTGGTAATAAAATTATTGATCTGGACCGGAGAGCGCATTTCCGTCTGAAGACGAGACGCTCGTCGCCGTTCGTCCTCTAACGCCTGGCGTCGCGACAAGGTCAGCTGGTTTCTTTTAAATTTCCTCTTACGCTCATTTCTCGGTTTCCAGAATATAAAAAATAAAAGTTTAAAACATTGTTTTACATGTCAAATGGCAACACTGAAAAAAAAAACACTAAATGTTACCAAATATTTTTGGTTTATTTCCTAGGGAAAATATCTAAGTGCACTTGAAATAAGACAAAACTTACTTTCAAGTAACTTTCCAGCAAAATATAAGAGCTAAATTTAAGTAAATTATTCCTTAATATTGATAAAAAGTAGATCTTAACACTTACAACAAGACATTTTTTCCATTTTCTAAGTAAAATAATATGCAAACTATTATTTTTTTCATCAATATTAAGGACATATTGACGTAAAACCAGCTAGTAGCCGTTACTTTTAAATGAGTTTTGTCTTTTTTCCAGTGAAGATTTTTGCAGAAGAAAATACTTGGTGAGATTTTGTGTTTTTGCAGTGTAGAATCGCAAGTCTTGTTTGTTTTGGACTTTTCCAGAATGAATCTGGTATTTTTGAAAGCTTTTGAGTTGAAGATAGTTTGATCATAAATCTAAATCAGATTTTTATGAAAAAATAGAGACACTAACTTCTGATTTAGTTGTTAAAATTGTGGTATTTTCAGAGCTTTTTTAGTTTTGAAGGTTTGCATTTCCTGGATCTCCACCGTTTATGACGACCTTGGAGAAAAAGGTTGTATAAAAACCACAAACAAAAGCCAAATCCGGGCTTCATTTTGCATTTTTTTAATTCAATGTTGTCAGTTTTTGGCTTATATACATCTGAAAACAATTGAAGATCTTTTTGATGGTCTTTTACCAAAAAGTTAAAAGATGAATACATTGCTGGAAGAGTTTCACTTTTACCTACAAGTCAGCTTTTTATTGGTTTTTGCTAAAGAAATAAAAATAAAAAACTAAACTTTTGGAGTTATCTCCTAAATTATTCTTTACCCTTGTAAATACTAAAGCTTGTGTACTTTTTTAATGCGCTTGGCGTCTTCCTTTGTGGTTGAAAACAGTTGATTTACATTCATGGTGAGTAAGAAGATCCCCCAGTTCCACATTTTTCTGTTTACTGTCAAACAAAGCAGCTTTTCAACAGAGAATCTTAACCTTTGACACTTTGTGTTTCACTGTTGCACCGGATTTTATTTAGTGGTAAAAGAGTAAAAGGGGATAAATAGATGCACTGAAGTTGGTACGTAGCAAACTGTAAGAAAGTTCAGCTGTTGGCATGTCTTCTTGAGGACTGGAGAACCTGTGAATGATTAGCTTGGTTAGCGTTATTTATTAGTCACTTTTCAAACAACACAGAGGTTTCAGAGCAAACTTCCTGTTGTGCAGGTGGAAAAAAAAAAACTCAGTCTGAGGTTAAGAAAACCTCAAGATTTTTTTTTCTCTTTCTAAAAATAAATCAGCTGTGAAATGACAGAAATTAAACAAAAAAACTAGATCTTGTGCTGGAATTTGAGATAAATTACTTTTAAAAGAAAATCCTTGAGAAATTTTTCAGTCATTTCAAACCTGAAGGATTTTCTTACAAATTCACTGCAAAAACATAAAATGTTACCAAGTATGTTTGGTCTAATTTCTAGTGAAAATATCATAGTACACTTGAAATAAGACAAAACTAATTTACAAATAACATGATGTATGAGCTTTTTTTAGTAACTAGTTTCTTAATGTAGATAAAAGACAAAAATGACTTACAAGAAACTTCCTCTTTATAAAAATAAATCAGTTCTGAAATGCGTCATAAATGACTCAAAAAGACACAATCTCTTTCTGAAATTTGAGATATAACTATTGAAACAACCACATCTAAATTATTATTTTCTCGTTTGCCTGAAACGTAGAAAAATCCTTCAGGTTTTAAACAGAAAGATAATTTTTTTGTTTCTTTCTGTTTAAAACCTGAAGGATTTTTCTACGTTTCAGGCAAACGAGCAAATAATAATTTAGATGTGGTTGTTTCTTTTCTTGTGTTTCTTTGATTTGAGCGTCTCATAGCAGCCAAAAAATGAGTCATGTTGTTGCATTTCCAGTTGTTTTTGTTACCCAGAAAAGGACAAAAACCTGACAGGATGAGACATGCCTGGGGGAGGGGAGTGTGAGCGTGTGTGTGTGTTTGTACGTCACATCATCGCCATGTGACAAGCCCCTCCTGGCCCAAACCGTGTATAAAAGACCCGCTTCCACCCTGGACAAACATTTACTCTTGAGGATCTCTTAAGAGAAACTTGCAAATCAAGACAAAGCAGACGAAACTATTGGACGGTTTTCCTTGAGTTAGCATGGCATCTGCAGGACTACAGATCTTGGGCATTGCCCTCGGCATCCTTGGCTGGATCGGGGCCATCATCACCTGCGCTCTGCCCCAGTGGAGAGTGACGGCCTTCATCGGCTCCAACATCGTCACGTCTCAGATCACCTGGAAGGGAATCTGGATGGAGTGCGTGGTGCAGAGCACGGGCCAGATGCAGTGCAAGGTGTACGACTCCATGCTGGCGCTGGAGCGTGACCTCCAGGCGGCCCGCGCCCTCACCATCATCTCCATCCTCGTCGGCATCTTAGGCCTCCTCCTCGCCGTCGCAGGGGGCAAATGCACCAACTGCATCGAGGACGAGAGCGCCAAAACCAAGGTGTGCATCACAGCCGGAGTCTTGTTCATCATTTCTGGCCTTTTGTGCATCATTCCCGTCTCCTGGACGGCCAGCAGCATCATATCCGAGTTCTACAGCCCATTTGTGAACAACTCACAGAAAATGGAGCTTGGAGCATCGCTCTTCATCGGTTGGGGGGCCTCCGCCCTCCTCATCCTGGGCGGTGGACTTCTCTGCGCCAACTGCCCTCCCAAAGACAACTTCTCCGCCAAGTACTCAGCCCCCCGATCAGTCGCTCCAACCAAGGACTACGTCTGAGAGGCCCGAGACATTAAGGAGAGACTCTGATTCATTTCTGGGGAACAAAGTGTTTTGGACTTTGGTTGTGTTCAGGATTCAGTCTGATTTGTTTCATCGTGAGGCGGCGGCGGCGGCCACGCCCGAATAACTGTCACCAGGAAGCAGGAAAGAAAATGACGACAGATCCATGGAAACAACAACTTGTCTTGCATTACCTTAATTCATAGTGTTGTTTTTTTAAAATTCATTTCACCTGTTTTTATTCATTTCATACAATTTTTTTTTACTGTTTGAATTATTCACCTCATAGTGGTTTCTGTCTAAAACTGTAAATAAAGATTTTTTGTTATTAATAATAAGAATAAGTAATCTGTTTGGTTTTTGTTCAGAAACAAAATACTTAAGACAAACTGCACTCCAGAAACAAAATCTTTTTTATCTATCTTCTTGTAAACATGAAATAAGGAAAAACTAACCTGCAGTCCGACTGTCAGATTATTTCAAATGTTACAAGTGAAATAATCTGACAGTGGAACTACAACTGTGTTGCGAGGTAACGGCGCCGTGCCCGTCGACTGTGAATAAAGTGTAATAATCTACCCTGTTGCACTTTTTCATCAATATTAAGGGATTGTTCACTGAAAACAGGCTCATATGTTTCTGAAAAGTCACTTGCAAGTTTAGTTTTGTCTTATTTCACGTGAATTTAAAACATCCGCATTAGAAACTAAAACACAAATACTTTGTGTGCTTTTGCGTTTCTAACCTTCTGAGTTGATCCAACACTTTTCGGGTTAAATTTCATAGATTTTTATTCCTGATCTGTTTCCAATAAAAGCAGACCTGCACTCCTTTCTGTAACATTACTCTTCATTAAGCTGATCTCCAAGAATAACCACAGAAAAGGTTATTTTTCTAGATTTGTTTTCAAGCGTTTGCAAACAGCAGGTGTTGGACAGGTGTGGCTCTCTGGGCACAAGAGCTTCTGTTTTCAGCTGGGAAGTTGAGGGTTTGACTCCAGCCAGCCGTTTAATGCAAATGTTCCCTTAGGCAAAATGCTTCACCCAAACTTTCCTACAAATGCTTTACCAGGGAAAACTGCAGCTGGTTTGATGGGATTTGATCAATTCAGTCCTTTTTTGTGAGGCAGAAACAACATGGATTCCCTATAGTTACACTATTTACGTTGAAAATTCGGCTGTTGCTTAACAATTTAAAATATTTTCTGTCAGTTTGAAGCTTTGTTTAGGCACTTTGTCCAAAATACGAGGACATTTATAACTTTTAAATATGAGCATTTAGAGGATTTCAACGTTTGAGAACATTCTATCAAAAATCAGGAGGTTTTTTTTTTTCTTTAAAATACAGACTTAAATTTGTAATATATTTGAAAGATGTCTGGGTAAACAGCTGCACAACACTGCCCCTCACTGGTGGAGGAAGAAAAATGATTTCCTCATTCAAATTCTTAATTTAGCCACTTTAAGCATCCTACTCAAAAATTAAGTGGATTTTATAGTTAATATTGAAGGGACTAATGCAAAAAACACGTCAGCTTGAGTAAAAAATATGTGAAAAGCTCTAATACTCTTTTTCATTGATAAATGTTAGAAACTGATCAGTTATTTGCTCTTTCTTTCCTTTGAGGCTCCTTGTTTACATATTTTTTTTCAAAATCTGAACTTTGGTGCTTTTGCTTTCAGGTCATTTATCACTACACTTTTATCATCATTAAATTTTTATTAGGCTTTATGAAAAAGTTTTGAATGAAACTTTAAAACTTCTTCTAATGAGAGAAATATTTGATATTGTGCCATTTTTAACCCAGAAACGAAGCTTTGAATGCTTTGGTTTTGTGGCTAAATAAATTAGCATGGATTTAAAATATGTGAAACATGCAGCTCAAAATCAGGAAAAGCAGGAATTGAACAGCAGGTCTGTGACCTTTCACACTAAAAGCTACATTTGTGAAATAATAACAGGTTCATTTTCCTGGTGCAGGCACCTTGGATGCCCTGTTTGCAACCAGTAAATTACAAAACATTAATCCAACAATGAAATCTTTAATAGGATTTGTCAAATAGTTTGTTCCATAGCAAAACTTTAAGGCCTATTCTAGTGTTTACTCTAATTCAGAGCATCTTAAGTGTTGATTTTTTCATTTTTTGTTTAATGCAACTGTATTTTTGCTTTAAATTGGGGGGAAATTGTGGCTGAAATAAACTTTCTCCTGGTCTTATCTAGTTGTTGTAATGTTGACAATTAGTAGCAAATCCTTGTGTTCCTTTTTCTTATATTTATCATGCAAACATTTAAGATTTTGTGCGTTATGTTGACATCTTAACAGCTAAAGCCAATGCTAGCCATCATCAGTGAGTAGCTTTTCGCCCCGGGAGATAGGTTTCCATATCGAAGGAGTATATTGTTAAAAGCGATCAAACTTTTTCTTCACTGAAGATCCCAGTGCTGATCACATTAGTTTCAGTGTCGTACTGATTGCTCACCTTGAAACTTGCAGGTCAGCACTGCATTAAGGACACCTTGATCACAAAACGGTGTTTTGTGTACAAACACTTCACAGCCAATTGCTGCTGAGGTCGGTGGTATCGGCTACCCTCATGCTGCTGCTCACATAAGAACCTTTAAGGTCCAGCCTGCGACATTCCCGCTGTTTTCTCGTTGAGTTTGGTGTCGCAGCAAGACAGGAAGATGGTTTCTCAGGGCATTCAGATCACCGGCATCGTCATAGCCACGATCGGCTGGTTGCTGGACATTGCGGTGTGCGGTCTACCCATGTGGAGGGTGTCCGCCTTCGTGGGCGCCAACATCATCACGGCTCAGACCATCTGGGAGGGCTTGTGGATGAGCTGCGTGGTGCAGAGCACGGGCCAGATGCAGTGTAAAGTCTACGACTCCATGCTGGCGCTGGAGCAGGACCTGCAGGCGGCCCGCGCCATGATCATCGTCTCCATCTTGTTGGGGATCGCTGGGGTGTTCCTGGCCATCGCAGGGGGAAAGTGCACCAACTGCATTGAGGACGAGCGATCCAAGTCGAAGGTCTGCATCGTTTCTGGAGTTATGTTCATCCTCGCCGGGCTGCTGTGCCTCATTCCCGTCTCCTGGTCCGCCAACTCCGTAATCAACAGGTTCTACAACCCGATGTTGATGGGAACGCCTCAATACGAGTTGGGAGCGTCGCTGTACATCGGCTGGGCAGCTTCCACCTTGTTTCTGATTGGAGGGGGGCTACTGTGCTGGAATTGCCCCAACAGTGAGGACGACCTTCACTACAAACCCAGATTCACCCCAGTGAAGACCGCTTCCACATCCAGAGAATACGTATGAAGTTTCCCTCCTGACACGGACGCGAACGACACGTCAGCTCGTTTTCATCTCACTGATGAATCCACGCAAAGTGTAAATACTGTATGAATTCTCAGATTTGTGGCCGGTTTTATGAGGAGGTTTGATCATGAAACCAAAGGAGTAAATTATAAATAACTGTGTTAAATGTTGTTTTTTCCTGTAGTTTATCTAACTTAAACAGACTTTCTTTCATAATTATTACTTTGGAAACAATCTGTTTATATAATTCGAGAAATGAATATTTAATTCCTTGTAACATTGTTGGAGATTTTATAATTAAATGTCATCGTGATCATTTGTATTGACCCTAATAACAGACACGTCTATGTGTAAATAAATGCGAAATGCTTTTTACTTTTACTTTTAAATTCTCTTTGTTCTCATATAGTCATATAGCTTTACTTGTTTTGTGTTTGTAATGTAAATACTCTGTTAAAACTGGACTATTACGCTTTAGTTCCGTGGAAAATTCTGAAATTAAATAAAATATTACGCAAGGACCCAAATATTCTTTCAGTTTATTTCCTGGTTAGAAAATTTTGGGTGTTTTAAAGGTTTTCAGAGTTTTAAACCTCAGTATGAATGTGATAAAACACATCCAAACTTTAGTTAACTTACATTTAATTAGACATTCTTGTTTTCTTGTTTCTGTGAGAAGATGATGAGATTGTTTTGTAATAATTTCCAGGTGATTTCTTGTTGACGCAGCGTCACGTGACACAGGCGTGTCTCATTGGTTTTGTGTACACAAAGGTTTCAGTCATGGGACGTTGGGAGACTTTATTTCTCCGCCGGTTTGTTTTCAGAGAAGCTTTCGATGCAGGCGCAGTGGATCGCTCTCACCTGCACAGGTGATTTTCTGTCAGTGCCGCACCTTAAACTTCCAGTTTCAGGACAGATCTTCCGTCCTCAAATGTTTGTTTTTCTTTTTCCCGTGAAGCTGCGTCACAAATCACATTTAGCAGGAAACAGTTCAGACTCTCCCTGTTGTTTTGTTTGTGATGAAGGGCGAAAAAAAAAAATCTCCATTTAGTTAAACTCTCAATATTCAGCTCAACGGACTGAGGTGATTAATTTAAATTGGTGAATTTTATATTCGGGGAATCAGTTCTGTGTTGACCTGACCGTACTTGGATGGGTATTCATCCTCCACCAAACTTTCCTGGCAAATAAATTATAATTTGTGATGAACCTCAGATTGAAAGTAGCTTTTAAAGATACCAACATTTAAACTGTTATTAAACATACCTCTGATTAATCAAACATTTTGGTAGTAAAGACATATTTTTATTGGGTTTTTTAATATTTTTTCCTTATATGTAGAGTTTTTATAAACTAAAAAAAAAATCCCAAAAAAACGTCATAATTAACAAAAGAAAGGCTTGGAAAAATTGGAAAAATCCATCTGTGCTTAGTTGATCTATAAATGCTCATATTTTAATACTTAAAATCCACAAAAACCTAAAATCTGCTCTAAAAACTCTCATAACTTCCTTCATTAATGGTTCAAATATTCAATGACAAGTCTCCCTATCAGAACTACAGAATATTACATTTACAGACTTCCTTACTTTTGTCTCAGGGTGCAGCCAATCAAGACCAAGGAAGATAAATGCAGCTCCTGGATTGGCTGTTTTGCAAACACTAGCCAATGGCACGCCAAGTAGCCTTTCAGCTTCCCGAGCTGCTCTACTGAAAAATCCACAAACAATTCAGGAATCACGTTCCGCAGAAAAAGCCGTAAATACTCCAAACATTTTAAACTACGTAATTCCTCTCTCTGTTTTACAGATTGTGTTAGAGTAGCTCCTCTATTGGAAACCTGTACCGTGTGTATGTGTGCGGGTGTACGTGTGTGCGTGGGTGTGTGTGTGGGGTGGTGGTGTGTGTGCTCTAGTCAATTTACAAACCTGACCCAGTTGCAATAGCTCAACCTGGAGCAATGGGACGAAATTCCAGTTAACTACTGGGAGAGGCGTCTAGACCGTTCGACCTTTTGGGTTTGCATGCGCTGCATAATGGCTGCTGGAAAAGACCAGTGTTATGTTGTTGACTTACCACTAGCTACAGTCTTTTTGGTTGCGCAGGAGGCACCACTTTTGCTTCTCAGAGATGCATTGTATTATTGCGCATTTGTTTGAAGCCATTTTTATTGTGAGTGCAGACTCGGAGTTGGTGGTGTGGCCAGCAGCTTATTTAGATTTAAAGGGGCAGTGTTATGTAAATAGTGTTACTCAAGCATCAAAAACAAACCTGGAGTGTTGCTTTGACTATTTCATGCATGTTTGAGAAATCCTTTAATCTTCATGGCAACCATTGAACTGAGAAAACGTCAGGTTGTACCAAGCCCCGCCTTCGAGGCACATTTCCTCCTTAGAGATGGCGTTTCCAAGTTCTGCCCTGCTCAGCTCCTTCAGACTAGCAGGCAGCAAATAGCAACCACCTGGTGGAACTGCTCTCTACTTTTCAGTGCAGCAACTGGTAAAAACATTGTTAAAGGGTTAATAGAGGAGCCATGTTGTGACAACTTCCTGAAGGCGGAGTTTCAGAAACAGCAGGAGTTTTTAAAGAGACAGAGGCCCAATTTCAAGATTAAATTAGGAGATAACATTTATTTTAATTCATATTTGATACATATAACATTTTTATTTCAGCTGATAGTTAACAAATGTGATTTTGCTATAAAATGGCAACAATATACCTGGAAAACAATACTGCTCCTTCAAGTGACAAGAGAAGACTGGAATCGTTCGTGTTTCATATATTCTACATACCTGACCTAACCTGTTCAGGGAAGCCTAACAGGTCACCTTTAAAGCAGCTGCCACTCCTCTACCTGCATGAGAAGGAATCTTGTTTGTTCAGAGGAACTCACCTGACAACAGGACAGCGCCTCCTCCTCGCCATTCTGTGACAAACAGCTGGCAAGAGAGCTGCGTCTCTCCGAGAACCGACTCTCTCCTGCCGCGGACGAAGCCTCTTCACCATGGGGAGGGTTGCCAAGGAAGTGGCGGGCCAGGTCATCAGCTTCATCGGCCTGGTCCTGGCCGCCGTCTGCTGCGGCGTCCCCATGTGGCGAGTGACCACCTACATCGGCGCCAACATCGTGACGGGCCAGGTGATCTGGGACGGGCTGTGGATGAACTGCGTGATGCAGAGCACGGGTCAGATGCAGTGCAAGCTCAACGAGTCGGTGATGCGGCTGTCGCAGGACCTGCAGGCCGCCCGCGCGATGGTCATCATCTGCCTGATCTTCGGCTTCATCGGCTTCATCGTCACCTTCATTGGAACCAAGTGCACCAGCTGCCTGACGAAGGACTCCAGCAACGCCACTGCGGTGATCATCGGCGGGTGTCTCTTGATCCTGGCAGCCATCTTGATCCTGGTCCCCATCTGCTGGTCGGCGGCCATCAGCGTCTCGGACTTCCAGAGCAGCTTGACCCTCGAGACGCAGAAAAGGGAAATTGGAGCTTCTATTTACATTGGTTGGTGTTCGGTGGTGTTGCTTCTGATCGGCGGGATCATCTTGACCACATCCTGTCCTCCCAATAGGCCATATTATCCAGCCTACAGACCGCCAATCTACGCCTACGGGCGCCCGAACACGCCGATGTACGGTCCGGTGTACGCGGCGCCGTCCAACCGGGCGTACAGCGGGACGTACACCGGGAGCTACGTCCCCGCCAAACCCTACGCAGCTCCAGCCGCGTACTCTGCTCAGCCGTACGGCAGAAACTGAAACTTTGGTTTGCACTGTATCATGAAACTGCATCTCAACAGAAACTGTATTTTTAAAAGATGCTTTGCAATCCAGCAAAATGTGACGTAAAAGTATTTTCTTCAGTAGCTGATTCTACGCCTTTTGAAGGAATGTTGTTCCTTCTCACCTGTGTAACTCCTGCATCGCTTTGCATTAGGAAACAACTGCTGTCGTATTTATGTTCAACTTTCTGAGTTGCTGTGATTCATCGTTTGTTTCCCAGAAAAACTGCTTCAATAAAATGATTGTCTTTTTACATTTTTATGTTTGTGGAGTTATTTCATGCAATAATAACAATAAAAGGAAAAAGAGAGCTTTTGTTATTAAGTCACATTATCACTAAAAATAAGATAGATATATAAATGATCCAATAGAAAAATCAATACACTTAAAATGCAACATTTTATTTAAAAAAGTAGAACTTTTAGATTTTTTATGAATTAATTGACTTTCATATTTTTTTCAGTTAAATTCTACCATAATATAAATTTTAAAATCATTTTTCTTCTCACTCTATATAGATAGATCCATTAATTTATATAAAGATAAACACATCTATATAATTTTATCTTAAATACATTTATTTTGAAATGTATTTAAGATAATTGTTTTGATTTATCTTAAATAAAAAAATGGTAAATTGTTAGTTTTGCAAGTAAAATATGCAATCTGAGTTTGCATTTCTGCCCGAAATATATCTATCTATATATCTATATATATATAGATATATAGATATATATATATATATATATATATATATATATATATATATATATATATATATATATATATATATATATATATATATATATCTATATATCTATATATAGATATATATATATAGATATATATATCTATATATCTATATATATATATATATATATATATATATATATATATATATATATATATATATATATATATATATATATATATATATATATATACAACACATATATAACATAACATATATATATTATAATACATAAAATATATGTGTAAAAAAAATTCTAAAAGTCTTTTATAATTATTATTTCTAACAGATATACATCTTGGTTCGTTAGGAATTGTTGTTGGTATTTCATGGCTTCTTCCACTTGATAATTAAATGTTATTTGTTCAAGAGGATTGAAGAAAATAAAATCATATTTAATAGATTAGATTATAGGTCTAGATGAAGTTTGCTTGTCAGATTAAAATCTCATCAGTTGGTGTTACGCATCTCATTAAATCCATGTATTTCTATTTTAAAGTTTTATTTATATATTTCTGATATAGTATACTAGTTGTAAATGTCAAGTTTTTTTTATTAACGTTAAGTGGAAAATCAAAGTGTTTCACTTCGTGATAAACCTCCGTAAATAATATATATCAAATTACTGAATGGACCTGCAGTAAAACCAGGAAGAGACTCTGTAAAGATAGTTTTCCACGTCCGGTGAAACTCTCTATTGTAAGAACCTGAAACCCGTTCTTGGGAGTGACGTCCTAGTCCGTCCAAAACCCAACCAGCGACTTTTGTTGTTGTTTAACTCAGGAATGCTGAACCTCATCTGCGCAAGGTTGTCCATCTTTTTGAAACTGCGGCTCAGCCGCACAAAAATCATGTAAAAAATCTGATCAGACTGGTAGATCTCCATGCAAACTGGTTTCAGATCCGAGGATTGGCTGCTCTGGCTCCGCCTTCAAGCCAGACGTCCTTAAAACCAACTGGGTTTGACAGCGTTTGCATTCATCTCTCTGACCGGCCGACCTTTCAACTCGTTTGTCGTCTCTGCTCGGTTCACCCCAACTCAAGCTCCATCATGGTGTCAATGGGACGACAGATGCTGGGCTTCGTCCTGGCCGTCATCGGCTTCATCGGGACCATCGTCACCTGCGCCCTGCCCATGTGGAAGGTCACGGCCTTCATCGGCGCCAACATCGTGACGGCGCAGATCATCTGGGAAGGCTTGTGGATGAACTGTGTAATGCAGAGCACGGGTCAGATGCAGTGCAAGATCTACGACTCGCTGCTGGCTCTGCCGCAGGACCTGCAGGCCGCCCGGGCGCTGGTGGTCGTCGCCATCATCGTCTCCGCCATGGGAATCATCCTGGGCGTCGCCGGAGGGAAGTGCACCAACTTCGTTGAGGAGCCGCGCGCCAAAGTCAGGGTGGCCATCGCGTCCGGGGTGGTCTTCATCTGCGCCGGGGTTCTGGTGTTGGTCCCCGTGTGCTGGTCCGCCAACACCATCATCATGGACTTCTACAACCCGTTGATGACCAACGCTCAGCGGCGGGAGCTGGGCGCCGCGCTCTACATCGGCTGGGGCACGGCGGCGCTGCTCATCCTGGGAGGCGCCCTGCTGTGCAGCTCCTGTCCTCCCAAACAGCAGGCCCAAGAGTATCCCGTGAGGTACGGCGGACCCGCATCCATGAGGTACGGCGGACCCGCATCCATCAGCAAATCTGTGGCCAGATCTGAAGCCAGTAGCCGGGCGTACGTCTGAAAGCTGGGAAAGATTGTAAATTACTGACATTTGCAAGCGAAATACCTTCCATGTGTGTCTGAAAGAAAAAGGAAGCGTGATCGACCAACTGATGGATTCTTGAAAGAAATCTGTGAGTCCTTAGCAGAAGACTTCCTTGAAGAAGAAAGATGTGGTGCCAGCACTGAGCGTTGTGTTATCTGAACTGGTTTATGACCATTAAGATTTCTGATTGACTTTGTACAAGAGACCAGAGATATATTGTGAATTTATTGTATTGTATTCTATCTATTTCAAACATTGTTGTTTTTTTTAATGATCATTTAGTGAATTTTGCTTTTAAACCTCATACCTTTGTAATAAAATGTGTTTGTCATATTATTTCTGTCTTCAGAGATCATTTCTTGGTCAGAGATTCTCTTCTGGTTTCCAGAAACACAAAAGTATTTATAGTCCAGTAAAAACTAACTCACAAATAACTTTTAAGCAATTTGTTTTAAGTCAGTAATTTATTAACATGGAATAGTTTTGGTTTAATTGGCAAATTAGTTCGGAAGTGAAATAATCAAGAACAAGAACTGGGTTGGTAGTGACGCCAGGGAAACTAGAATTATTTCATAAATATTAAGGAATTGCTGGCTTAAAACAAGCTGCTGTCTCTTACTGAAAAGTTACTTGTTTTTTAGTTTTGTCCTATTTCTTAGTGCACTAAGATATTTGCACTAGAAACTAAACCAAGGTTAGGGTTGGGGTAGGATTTTCTGTTTTTGCAGTGCATGCACAATAATTTCACAATTCAAAAGTGTTTCTTTGATTCTCAAAGAGATATTACTTAAACATTACGCTTTCAAAATCTACCAAATAATAATGAATATTTAAAACTATATTCATAAGTAACAGGTGAGACGGTTTTTCTTTCTTAGAGGAAGTTAAAACGTGTCTTGGGGGAAATTTCTGTGCAGGGAAAGTATGTGAAAACATGCAACTGTTCAAACTCGTTGGGCTTTTTCCAGCCCAGTTAAACCAGTTTTACTGTCCAGACCAGAGTCACAGCCTTTTCTGTTTTCTGTCTAGTTTCTGCCAACATAAGGAGGAAATTTTTATTTACACGGGGAAAAAGGCTTGAAGGGAGTTGTTGCTTTTTCTGAAGTTGTGTTTCAAAGACTTCAACTTTGAATAAATGTCACTCAGTACCAAAGGGTTACTTTTGATAAAATGGTAAGAAATTAGACTTTATATTTGTGGGAACAGAAACAAAAGGAGCACTTTCTATTTTTATCTGAGCACATATTTTCGTGTCACAATGACGTGTGAAGTACTTTGACAACAAAGTGAAACCAAACTACTTTAAAACAAAACACATTTCCACCAATCTGGTTTTGTACCAATTATGGGGGCATTTTATACCTGATTTATCATTTTATGTAGCCTCAGTTTCATAGAATGAGGTTATCACTGAAATAAATCTTAAATTGGTTTTATAAAGGCCAAACTGGAACCAGAACCATTAGGCAACGTTAATTTATAATCTAAAGTTTCTATCTTTGGATTTAAAGATGAACGGCCTATAACTGCACAGCTTCAGATATTACGCCTGGAAACTCGATCAGGACCAAAATCTATATCTGAACATTCATTTCCCTCTTATTTTTTATTTTATTAAAACTCTCAAAACCTGTCACGTTGACTTCGTATTAAAAATAATCTTATTTATCGTTTTTTAAACACGGGCTTGTTTGAATAAACTAGTTTCACATATTGCATCATAAAAACTCTTCCTGCTCAACACCAAATCCTTTAAATCTCGACTTTGATAAACTTCTGTAGTCAGGAATAAGTTTCATAGCTAATTTTGATCAATGCCTAATCAAAGCTGCCAATCAGATAATTAGAGCTTTTAACCCAAACATAATGAACTTTATTTCAGTACCAAATGTTTGTCTGTAACTTCCGATAGTGAAGAAATGTTGACATGAAGTCATTGTGACTTTCAGAAATGATTCCCGATACGTGAGCAGTGTGATGTCAGCGCATCATGGTGTGGGCGTGTCGACACACCCGGTCCCGTTCCTGCTCGCTTTATCTGGTTTCACATTCCTCCATCTGATTTCAGACGAGGGCGACCGACTCAAACCGGTTACAGGAATTCACCCAAAACTCATCGGCGGGGGAGCAGCTTCCGCAAAATCTCACCAAGAAAACAGCTGACACTGCAGATCTTATTTTTAACTTTTAGTGCCTGTGACAGCTCATGGCAGGAAAGGTTTCCTGTAGCAGTCTGTGTTACAGCTAAGCTGAAGAAGCCTCTGACTGAAGACACTCAAAAATCAAAGGACCTTTTTTTGCATTTGATTTTAAAATGCTAAAACAAACGTATAAAAGAGACAAAACATCAACCTTCATTAATTAACTGTAATGATTGTAACTTAAACTTTTTCTCATCTACATGTTTCAGGTTCAGACGTGAGATTAGTTTCGTTCCACCAGGGAATCTGATTATGATTGGAAATGAAACGTCTCTCACAAGATCACAGAAAAAAGTCAACTTTGAAGAAACAAACAAAATAAAATTGGATATTTATTCTAAAAGGGTCACAAAAATATTTATTACCTTCTCAATAATCAGTATGAAAGTATTTTTTGCCATAGCAGGAATAAACTCTTTCCTGTTTCTGCCTGCATTTTAAAGATTAATTTGGAGTTTATTTTATTGCTAAACCTATAATAAACCAGTTTATTATAAAATCACCATGTAAGACTTTCTACCAGGTTGAGTTTCATCCACATAAGATTTATTGACAGCTAATTTCTCAAAGTTCTCGTATGACCTTCTGCACTGCGTCTTCTGGTAACCTGAGCGACTCGTCATCAGTTTTATGATAAATGAAGAGCAGCAAACTGAGTAAACCTGAGCTGGTTCTGGTTTGAGAAACTGATTTATTTTTAGACAACGGTATTTAATATTGTGAAACACAGGAGAGTTGTGTTAGCACTAATTTAATGACATAACATCCTTCAGTTGTGAAATATTTCACATTGATTTGGTGAAAGTGAGAATCTGTGTCTAACTACGCTGCAAAAACACAACATTTTACCAAACATGGTCAAGTTTACTGCAGAAATCTTAGCAAACTTAAAAAAGGAAAAACTAACTGACAAGCAACTTTTTAGCAAGATTTGGAAGCTTGTTTTTACTCAAAAAGTTTCTTTCTTATTCATTTATTGCAGAAATACAAAATCTTGCCAATTATTTCTGGTCGAGTTTATAGTACCGATATCTTTGTACGATTAAATATGGAAAAACTGACAAGTTTTCAGCTTGTTTTAGATCAATAATATTGATTATGGGAAAATTGTCTTGAACTTCTTCATCAGTATTAAGAATTATTGACTTAAAACAAAATCCTATATGTTGCTGAAAAGGTATTTATTGTTTAGCCAGTTAGTTGTGAAGAAACTAGACCAAAATACTTGGTAAGATTGTGAGTTTTTGCTGTGTTCAGATTATTTAAGGCTTCTTCAAACCCTCCCTTTGCTCCACATGATAAACTGTCATCGTTCTCTGCAGTTTGCATTCTGGTAGATAATGTTCCAGGAACAGCTTTGTGCAGCATTCTGGCTCGTCTCTACTCAGAAAATCTATTGAAGCCCCAACATTTATTGTCCTCACACACAAAAACCGCCTGCAGGTGTGGAATCATTTGGCAGGCCTTCTAGTGTTTCACACCTCCCGTTCTTCTTCTGGTTCACACAAACACCCGACGCCACTCCGCGTTCTGCCAGAGACGCGCAGCGATGGCCTCCATGGGGTTGCAGATGGCCGGTTGCGCCTTGGCGCTCTTCGGTTGGATCGGGGTTCTCGTCGTCTGCGCCGCTCCCATGTGGCGGGTCACGGCGTTCATCGGCAACAACATCGTGACCTCGCAGATCATGTGGGAGGGCATCTGGATGAGCTGCGTGGTGCAGAGCACCGGCCAGATGCAGTGCAAGGTGTACGACTCCATGCTGGCGTTGAGCAATGACCTTCAGGGCGCCAGAGCTTTGGTGGTGGTTTCCATCGTCGTTGGCGTTGTTGGGCTCCTGATTGCTTTTGTCGGGGGGAAGTGCACAAACTTCATTCCAGAGGAGAAGGCCAAGGCCAAGGCCTCGGTGGCTGCAGGAGCCGTCCTGATCGTCAGCGGAGTCCTCTGCCTCGTTCCCGTCTCCTGGACGGCCAGCATCATCATCCAGGACTTCTACAACCCTCTGCTGATGGATGCGCAGAAACGAGAGATCGGGGCGTCTCTGTACATCGGCTGGGGCGCCGCGGCGCTGCTGATCCTGGGAGGGGGGCTTCTGTGCGCCAGCTGCCCCCCTAAAGAAGAAAACGTCCCCTCTGTGAAGTATCTGCTGAACAAATCGGGAGGAAACAGCAAAGGAGAGTCGTACCGATCATCCTCACCGACCAAGACGTATATTTGAGCCGAACTAGAATTCGGACAGAATCTCACCAAATATCACTGGTCTGGTTTCTACTGGAAATATCTCAGTACACTTGAAATAGGACAAACTGACTAACATGCAACTTTTCATCAAGACACAGGAGCTGGTTTTAAGTAAATAATTTCCTTTTAAATGCACTATTTCCACTTTCATCTAAAGCAAACGAAATAATCTGCCAATGCAACCAGAACTTAAATATCCTAAACAAGCTTCTATTTCTTTCTGAAAAGTTACTTCTAAGTCAGTTTTATCTTATTTCAAGTGTACGAACAAACTTGCACTATAAACCCAACCAAGAATTCTTGGTAAGATTTATTTTTTTTGCATTGAAGGACGACATTCAAGCAGCACAAAGAAAAAACAACAACGACTTTTCAACCTGAAGTGAAGGAAATCAAACCTGTTAAAATGTTTAGTTTCAAGTTGTACAGTTCTGTATTTTTATTAGTTTTGGAAAATGTTTTTGTATATTGCTGGTTTTCGTTGGACGGACCTTTTGTCTGCTGGCTCTTCAGCTCAGCGCCAGCAGGTGATATTTGACCCAAACAGGAACCTGTCCTGCCGGTTCTTACCAGACCAAAGTCCCAAGAACAATCGCGGTGACTCAGGGAATCACAATGCTGTTGAGTCATAAATGTTTAGCTCGATTTGCTCGAAACCTCTCAGTGTCCTACATTCACACAGAAAGGACAGGAGTTACACCAAAAGCAGAGACTTCTGCACCTTAAATCCACACAAACGGTTTTTAAAAGATGTTTTTAGTGACGCATCAGCAAAATGGGTTTGATGCTTTCTTAGCCAATCAGATGAGAAAGAAGGAGTCAAATTACGACGCTGAAAATGTCTCTTCCTCTTTTACTCACATGTGTCTATATGTATGTGTTGCTTTTTTCCTGGACATTTATTCAAAAATAAATGTTTTAATTAAATTGTCTTTCATTTAAAACTTCTGATTTAAAAGGCATAAAATAAACTGAGAACACTTAAAATAAGACAAAAATAATTACAAATAATTTTTCAGCAAGACAGAAGAGCTTGTTTTAAGTTGATAATTGCTTAAAATTGATGAAAAAGTAATAGTTCTATTGGCAGATTATTTCACAAAAGGAAAATGTTATAAATGAAATAATCTGGCAATGAAACTGTAACTTTTTTATTGATATTAGGAAGTTATTTACTGAAAACAAGCTCCTGTATATTTCTCAAAAATTAGTTTAGTTTCATTTATCGTGGACTAAGATCTAGAAACAAAACCAAAAATATTTGGTAAGATTTTCAGTTTTTGCAGTGTAAATTCATCTTTTATTACAATTATTTAACGTTGTCACACAAAAAAAGATTTTAAAAGGATGGGGTTTAGAGAAACCCTAATCAAGATTTGCTGAATGCTGAATGAGGAAAAATCACTGGTGTCACAACTTCCGGCTCCTTGAGATAAATGTAAAAAAAATATTTTTGTCACTATTTTACTATTTTACATTGACATTAATTACTTCCTGTCTGCTTAATGTTATAAACATGACGCCACAAGTTCTCCAAAAATGGCAAGAGAAGAGAACATTTCCATTCATGTAAAGCAGACCTCCTCTTGTTTGCCCTACCACCACAAAAGTAAACGGGCAGTTTGCTCAATTATACTCGGGCTTCATTTTAGAAATGTCCGAAAGTTTCTAACAAGTTTATGAAACGTGTAAGAAGGGAGTTGTATGAGTGGTAACTGATTTTGTAACTGTATAGGTTGGAAATGCTGGTGTAAAATTATAAAAATCACTCATGTTATCGGTAATAAATGAGCTAAATTAAGATGCCACTGAAATAGCAAAGGAGCAGTTACATTGAGAAAGTCCAGACATTTTTAAATGGGATCAGCAGCAGGATCTGCATACATTTTCTATATTCTGTCCTATGCTGCCCCCTAGTGGCCATCTGGTAGCACAGGTTAGTGATAAGAATCAATTTTAGCTTTCAGGTTTGACATTTATGCTGCTTTTCATTTCTTTTCACGTTTAAAATGATTTGACAATGAATCCAAAGTGTGTAGTTTGATTTATGTAACTTATCTTTGCAGGGATTTAGTTGTTTTTGTGAAGTTAAAAAAGGGGACACAAGGTTTCTCCAGGTTTCACCAAATCAAAACTAACATTGTTTATTTAAAGACTGTTAGGAGTAAAAACTGAGATCTGCATCTCGACAGAAAGGTAGACGAGAAAATCCCATATTTTATATAGGAATTGTGTCTCATGCATTTTTTCCATTCAAGCTGATTGATGACGTGGCGTTTGGACACTCAGCCTGTTTGTTGTGTTTCTCACAGACTTCCAGGCTCCCATGGCTCTGCAGGAGCTGGGCATCAGCCTGTCCATGATGGGTGTCGCCGGCACCATGCTGATCTGCGGCCTGCCCATGTGGAAGGTCACGGCCTTCATCGGCACCCACCTGGTGGTGATGCAGGTGTTCTGGGAGGGCTTGTGGATGACCTGCGTCAGCGAGTACACGGGCCAGATGCAGTGCAAGCTCTACGACGCCCTGCTGGACCTGGCGCCGGAACTCCAGGCGGCCCGCGGCCTCGTTTGCGTCGGCCTGGTGCTGGGCTGCCTCGGGTTCCTCGTCTTCATCCTGGGAGCTCGCTGCACCAACTGCCTGGGCCGCCCGCGGGTCAAAGCGAGGGTGGTGATCGGCTCCGGCGCCATCTTCTGCCTGTCCGCGCTCACCACGGTGGTCGCTGTCGCTTGGACCGCCAACACCATCATCACGGATTTTCACAACCCCAGAGTTCCTGAGGTGCTGAAACGAGAGCTGGGCGCGGCCATCTACATCGGGTTTGTGACGTCCGGGCTGCTGTTCTGTGGAGGAGCCGTTCTCTGCCTGACCTGCCCACCAGAACCAGACGGGGTCCACTCCAGCGGCTACATGCTGGCCGAGACTCCCACCCGGAGCAGCTACGCCATCAAGAACTACGTATGACAACAGAAACAAAACCACGACCTCTTGACCTCTACGGACTTCTTCAAGCCTTTTATGGTGCTTGATCCTTAATTACAATCTGTACACTGCAAAATTCTACCACACATATGTTATCACACTTGAAATACAACAAAACTAACTTACAAAAACTCTCCAGCGAGATATGATTGACTTAAAGCTTCAGTCTGTAAGATTTTTAATAAAAATGTCACCAAATGTCTGACAGTTTGAGGCAAATAATCTGAGAAAAGATCCATCTCCTCACTTCCACCCTGAACTGCTGCTGTCTGAACAAATGACCAATCAGAGCCACGAGGAGGGGCTTAGTGTTGTCAATCAAACTTATGTGCATGCTGCTAAATGTGTGAATGGCGGAGAAACAACTTACTTTTCCAGAACAAAATCATGCTAACTAGCTTAACAAGAAACTGCAGAGCAAGAGAGTGAGGGATGGGGGGAGTGACACGCTGTCAGGTTCTGTGTTTTTCTGTGTTTTAATTCCGAGTTTCTGTGTCCTGAGTCTCCTCGTTGTCCTGTCTTCCCCTTGATTCCCAGGTGTGTCTTGTTCCCCTGATTGCCCTCAGTGTATTTAGTCCCTCCTGTGTCCTTTGTTCCTCGTCGGGTCCTTGTAGTTGATTGTCGTTGTTTTTTTGTGCCGCCTGTAAGACCAGTTGCTACCGGCGTTGAGCCCTGGCTTCCGCTCAGCCGTGCTGCCTGGCCGCGGACTCTGTTTATTGACTGAGTTTTTGTGGACTATTTTGTTATTAAATTACACCACCGTCAACTTACCTGGGTCTCCAGCGTACTGCCTCACCACCTCCACCACCACACTTCATGACAGAAGGACCCGACCAAGAATACGGTGAGGCACGCTTTAACATCATGGACCCAGAGGGTGTAGAGGAGCTGCTCCGAACGATCCAGGAGTATGAGGATTCAAAGAGCACGTCCACGTTCGCCCTCAGACGGCTAGGGTTCGCCATACGCCTGGGTATGTTGCTGGACTACTGGGTTCCACGTCTCCAGCACCCCGCGCTGGTGGAGCTGCAGCGGGAGGCAGAGGAGATACGCCAGACAGCCTTCGCGGCCTGGGATGCTAAACCTCTGCCTCCCAGGCCAGACATCCGCTCCGCCAGCCCAGCCCCAGCTCCAGCCTCTGCTCCTCGTCCTGCTCCGCCGGACTCCGCTCCGGCTGCCGTTCCTGCTCCGCCGGACCCCGCTCCGGCTGCCGTTCCTGCTCCGCCGGACCCCGCTCCGGCTGCCGTTCCTGCGCCGCCGGACCCCGCTCCGGCTGCCGTTCCTGCTCCGCCGGATTTCGCTCCGGCTGCCGTTCCTGCGCCGCCGGACCCCTCTCCGGCTTCGGCTCCTGCTCCGCCGGACCCCGCTCCGGCTTCGGCTCCTGCTCCGCCGGACCCCGCTCCGGCTTCGGCTCCTGCTCCGCCGGACCCCGCTCCGGCTTCGGCTCCTGCTCCGCCGGACCCCGCTCCGGCTTCGGCTCCTGCTCCGCCGGACCCCGCTCCGGCTTCGGCTCCTGCTCCGCCGGACCCCGCTCCGGCTTCGGCTCCTGCTCCGCCGGATTCCGCTCCGGCTTCGGCTCCTGCTCCGCCGGATTCCGCTCCGGCTTCGGCTCCTGCTCCGCCGGATTCCGCTCCGGCTTCGGCTCCTGCTCCGCCGGATTCCGCTCCGGCTTCGGCTCCTGCTCCGCCGGATTCCGCTCCGGCCTCCGTGGACTCTGCTCCTCGTGCGGCTGCTCCAGCAGCCTCTATCCCTAGTGCTCCTCCCGAGATCCCTAGTGCTCCTCCCGAGTCCCCTAGTGCTCCTCCCGAGTCCCCTAGTGCTCCTCCCGAGTCCCCTAGTGCTCCTCCCGAGTCCCCTAGTGCTCCTCCCGAGTCCCCTAGTGCTCCTCCCGAGTCCCCTAGTGCTCCTCCCGAGTCCCCTAGTGCTCCTCCCGAGTCCCCTAGTGCTCCTCCCGAGTCCCCTAGTGCTCCTCCCGAGTCCCCTAGTGCTCCTCCCGAGTCCCCTAGTGCTCCTCCCGTGCCCCCTAGTGCTCCTCCCGTGCCCCCTAGTGCTCCTCCCGTGCCCCCTAGTGCTCCTCCCGTGCCCCCTAGTGCTCCTCCCGTGCCCCCTAGTGCTCCTCCCGTGCCCCCTAGTGCTCCTCCCGTGCCTCCTAGCGTCCCTCCAGAGCCCCCTAGTGTCCCTTGGCGCCGAGGACGCCCTCCGCACCTCCCCCGTGGGGTCTGCCGCGGGCGCCGAGGACGCCCTCCGGACCTCCCCCGTGGGGTCTGCCGCGGGCGCCGAGGACGCCCTCCGGACCCCCCTCGACGCCTCTGCCCTCTTTCTGTTTAGTTTTGGACTCTTGGCCCCTCCTTGTGTTTCCGCCCACCTTTTGTGGGTAGTTTTTTGTTTTCTGGACTCTGGCCCTCCTCCGCCCACCCTGGTTTTTGAATTTTGTTTTTGGGCGTCTGGTAGCCGCCCTTTAAGGGGGGGGTACTGTCAGGTTCTGTGTTTTTCTGTGTTTTAATTCCGAGTTTCTGTGTCCTGAGTCTCCTCGTTGTCCTGTCTTCCCCTTGATTCCCAGGTGTGTCTTGTTCCCCTGATTGCCCTCAGTGTATTTAGTCCCTCCTGTGTCCTTTGTTCCTCGTCGGGTCCTTGTAGTTGATTGTCGTTGTTTTTTTGTGCCGCCTGTAAGACCAGTTGCTACCGGCGTTGAGCCCTGGCTTCCGCTCAGCCGTGCTGCCTGGCCGCGGACTCTGTTTATTGACTGTGTTTTTGTGGACTATTTTGTTATTAAATTACACCACCGTCAACTTACCTGGGTCTCCAGCGTGCTGCCTCACCACCTCCACCACCACACCTTATGACACACGCACATGATTGACAGCACTAATATCCGCCTCCTGACTCTGATTGGTTGCTTCTAGTTAGTGCTGGGAGAAGACAGGTTACCTGTCTCATACCATATTGTCACAACACAGTTACAACAAATATGGAAAAAATATTTTTGATGAAAGTTACACCCTGCAGCTTTAAGACAAAACTCATTCACAAGTAACAAGATGTTATTCACCCAAAAAAGATCCTGTTTCTTTCTGAAAAGTTAGTTAGTAAGTTAGTTTTGTCTCATTTCAAGTTCAGAAACGAGACAAAAATACTTACCGGTCGTAAGATTTTGTGTTATGGCAGCAAGTTTGAAATGCAACCCTTTTTTTTTTTTTTTTTTCCTAAACTGTTTAAAGCAAATATTTTAACTGCTATTTTTGCTTGTTAATTATTTGATTGAAGTGGCAGAAATAAAAACCGTGAAACATTTGTGTCGTACTTGATTTATTGCCTTAAGTTTCTAGCAGCTGAATAACTGACTGACACAAGTTTGAGCTTGTGACTGAAGGCCCACAGCTGAAACACGCGGGTTCCCAGAGGTTATTTTCACTTTAATTCAGGTTTCATCAGGTAGAATCGGAGCCACACTGCAAAAACACAAAATATTTCCAATTTTTTTGGTCTGGTCTCCAAAGCAAACATCTTAGAAAACTTTAAATAAAACAAAACTAACTAACAAGTAACGTTTAAGTAATCTGTAATAGGTTAGTTTGTAATCTGTTTCCAGAGACTTCATTATTAATTTTATTTATGATTTTGATTGTAACTGGGGTTTTTTTTTTCATAATTTATTTGTATTAGTTTATATTTAAATGATCTTAATGTTGCAGTGTTGAATGTTCTTTATTACAAATTGTTTCAAAAATAAAATCTGGACAATTTATCATCCAGTAATATTTCTAATGACTTTTTTCATCAATATTAAGGAACTTAAAACAAGCACTTATGCTACTTCTAAATGAGTTTTCGTCTTCTCTTTACTGCACTAAGATATTTGCTTGTTTTTGCAGAGCAGCGGCTGAAAGTCAGAGCACAGCGGACGCTTTGTTTTCTCCCCTCCCTGCACAAACGCGGATAAATGGATTGTTTTGAAACCATGGCAGAGAAAACAGAGGGATTCCCCTCCTCCGCCCAGCCACTGGCTTCTTCTAAGAATGCTAAAGAGCCGTTCCTTCCTCTCATGCAAAGCACCCCAACCCCACACTGCACTGCAAAAACACAGAACTGATTTTAGTCCAGTTTATGCCCTCTGCTTGTAAATTAGTTTTATTTGATCACACTAAAAATAAAACAAAACTAACTTACAGCTTTTTAGCAAGAAACATGTGTGTTTGCTTTAAGTAATTAATTCCTTAATATTGACTAATGAGACATTTCCCCATGTCATTAATTAACTGTTCTACCAATGGAACTAGTCATTTATATTAATATGAAGGAAATAGAGTTGGATCACGACATTCATTCAACTACATTTACTTTAGTGACTTCTTGTAAAAAGTGTATTTTTATGAGTATTTTTACTGCACTGTAACTTTCAGTATTTCTACTCCTGAGTCACATTTCTGGATTTTCTGCCCACTCAATGGAAAACAAACATGTTTAAACCAAAAACACACAAAAAAAAAACACTGGAAAAAATTATTATGGAGTTTCAGCTATAAAATTATTTTAAATTTTTTTAAAAATAATTTTACAATATTATAGACGTGGATGTGTTTATTTATTGTTTGAATTTGTTTTTGTTTAGTCAAATTGTTTCTCAGACGTTTCTAGAAAGCGCTTGACGGTTGGTGGTTCCCACGGTAACTGAAGGCTCCGCCCCCTTTCCTCCTCCCTCCGCCGGTCTGTGGTAAGAACCGCGATCAGCGCTGCGTTTCACTCACAACTGTGTTTTAACATCGTTTAGACGACAGTAACAACATTCACATTCATCTGTGGTCATTCGTAACATTGTACTTTTTAGCTGTGTTTGAATTTACAGCTGCTAACTGGTGTTAGCTAGCTGCTAACTGGTGTTAGCTAGCTGCTCGTTGGGAGTTTATTGCTGTGTAGTTTGTTTGGGGTTATTTATTTGACGCCATCTTGATTTCCTCTTTTCTCAGGATGAATCTGGGAACCTGAAGACCCAAAGGTTACATGAGCAGCAAACTGTCTGTCTGACATTTTAACTGTATGTATTTACTTAGACTTTAGACTCCTTTATTGTCCATTAAACTTACATAAAATGGAAATGTATCTTTGGTAATGGTACAACAACACACATCACAATCGCCACAAAACTGTATGTATAATGAATAAACAAGATCTGTAAAATAAAATCAAGTCATATTACTCTACTCATGTCATTCAGTTAAATATTAAAAACCATTTAAAATTTACTGTACTGCACTGTGTGAAATTTAAAATCAGTGGAATATTACTAGCAGACTTAGAGAACACATAATCTTATCTATTCTCAATTAATATAGTCAGATAATCTTAATCTGATTATTCGTAATAAATTAACTTTTTTTTTAAACCGGTCACCAGTTGTTGTTTTTGTTGTTGTTTTTTAGTGCTCACACCTGTAGCTTTTGTTAAAGTTTCATTTAGATTTTTCTTCTTCTTTTGCCTAATTGTATTATTTTTGCTGCTGATATGATTTTTTGTCATTTTGATCCCCAACATTTCCTCTTAGCTTTATATTATCTGATGACATCATTTTCTTTTCTTTTACTTGTTGCAGTGATGCAATAGGTCGCCTCGCCCTCTGAACTCTTTTGTCTTATTTCAAGCGAACTGAACCGAAGTTACTTGTTAGGATTTTGTGTTTTTGCAGTGCGTGTTTAACATGGTGAACAGCGGATCCCCGCCCCAGCCCGACCCGCCCCAGCCCGACCCGCCCCAGCCTGACCCGCCCCAGCCCGGCCGGGCCCGGCGCGCTGCCAGCCGTTTCTGGAGGATGTTGCTGCGGCAGCTGGAGATCGCCGCCCTCGGCGTGGCCGCCGCAGGCTGGCTGGCCGCCGTCCTGACCCGCTGCCTGGCGCTGTGGACGGTCAGCGGGACGCTGGACAACCAGATGGCCAGCCTGCCTGCCTACTGGGACGGGGTGTGGCTCCAGTGGGATCACTGGGATCTGGCCCACGATGGCAGCCTGCACTGCTCTTTCTACCAATCCCTGTTGTCTCTCTCGGGAAGTTTCCGCGCGTGGAGGGCTCTCATCATGGCCGCCATTGCAGTCGGGGGCTTCGCCTTGCTGGTTGGTGGCGCGGGGCTGGTGTGGTTCCCGCAGAGGGGGCAGATCAAGGTGTTTTCTGGGAGTTTCTTCGTCCTGGCCGCGATCCTGCTGGTGATTCCCACAGCCTGGACGTGCCACCACACCAGCCAGCCGCTAGAGGGCGCGGTGCCGCTCAGCAGAGCCTGGGGCCCCGCGCTGTACCTCGGCTGGATCTCCTTCGGCCTGATGCTGCTCGGTGGGGGGTTTCTGATCTCCAGATGCCCCGGCGCCAAGGGGCAGGTGGGGCAGCCAGGCGGCGGCAGGAGCCCGGAGGAGGAGGCCAGCAGCCCGCTGAGTACCATCAACAGAACCGCGTTCACTAACAGCCAATACAACCGCAGGTCGCCGCCCATCTGACAGAACCGGACCGGGCCAACGAACCAACGAACCAATGAACACGATGCTCTCAGGAAAACTGCACTTTGTGACACATAAAGGCGTAGAATGAACTTAAAGGAGCAGAACTTTGTTAACAGGCTGATTTTTGCTGTGTTTTGTTTTACTTTAACAAACTGTTTGTCTTTTTGTTTTTATTATTTCCACCCAGTGAAACAAGACAGAGACTCGTTCTGCTTGCTCCACTCTGGCTCTGGGATGTTGAGTAACTTTCTCTGCAAATGGGAGCAAAACTGTCAAAGTTCCCGTAATGTTAGAAAAAAATAATCAGTTTCTGAAGAAGAAAGTGCTGATCACAGCAGAAGATCGATGTCACCGTTTGCATATGATGGAGCTTCTGGGCTGTTGTGGACAGAAAAGAAAGTAGGAGCAAATTTCTGTCAAAAAACTCTGAAATCTAGAGATTAAGTTCAGAACTTGTTCACAAAATCCCTGGAATTTCTGAGCTTGAAAACTCCATTTTTAAAAGTCCAAATTTTTGAACTTTTGAGCTCAGAAAATCTCAGTTTTCTAGAAAATATTTTAAATTAATCTCGAAATTTGTGACAGTTTTTCATACAAATTTTAGACTTTTGAAATGTACAATTTTTTTCTGGAACATTTCTGAGATCTCAAAGTTTTCTCACTAATATTTTGCTTTTGCAGCTCAGAAATTGTATGAGATTAAATCTCTAAATTGGCAGAAATGTGCTTCTTCATTTTTCTAGCCACAATTTTCCTAACTCACCTTCAACCCCCCCAAATTTTCTTTCTGCTTTCTGATTGGCTGGTTGTAATTCTACCAGCAGAATCTAAGTGAATGGAAGAAAAGCCAGAATGTGTTTTGAAGTGAGATTTAATTGTTTATTTCTTAAAGTAAAAAAACTAAACTCTGTTTTGTGATGCTATGACAACAGCTTTAAATCAAACTACTGTTTGCAGAGATGAGTAGCAACGAGCTACATTTACTTGAGTAAAAATAAAATATACTTTTCGAAGAACTTTACTGCATGTTCTTTTTACTTTCACTTTAGTAAATTTACCATGAAGTACTCGAGTAAAATATCTGGATTCTCTACCAGAAACTGAATGATGAACAATATTATTTTACCCAAAAGTTTTATATTGACATAATTTGATTTGTTATGACCTAATTTGTATGAACTACTTTCATTTTGGTTTTTAGAAAACCAACATTTTGGTCCATCTGACCAAATTGTGAAGTTATCAAAAACTTTTTCTTACATGGCTAAAACATATTGAAGTCGTTCTACTTTTATTAGAGTGTAATTTTTGGCTAATCTTCTGACCTGCAGACGAAACGGTGAAGATTTATTTGTTTTTACAACAGAGCAATAAACTTTAGACTAAATTTATCTGCTCAGAGTTTAATTCTCCCTGCAGTTGAACAAAATGACGATTGACAAAATCCATGTATTTGGTGTATTTTATGTCAAACTGGTTGGACTGGAATCAGAGTGAAAGAAAAACAACCAGGGATGTTGGAACGCAACCCGGAGCACAAACAGGATGGGCGGCGTTGAGTTGCTGTTTTGTTCCCTGAATCAGTCGCAGCCTTTAAAAAATGCACAAAAGTTTTGAAATTATACTTGTGTATTTCTGCAGCTTTCCTCCGTTTCTTTAAATGTGTTTTCATGTAGAAAATCTGCTGAATTCAACCTTTTCAGATTTTGTCAAATGTCAACATTTTAGGATGGAAAACTATATATAAAAAAAGTTTTATTTAGTCATTAACTTTATTTATGCAAATTTAACACTGAAAGCCGAAGGAGCCTGACTCTTTAACTTGACTCTTTTGTTTTTTAAACTTTCTGCTTCAACTTTAATTGAAAGAAAATCATTTTAAACTTCAGATTTAATATTATTTGCTACTAACAACATCACCGTTTCTGAGTTTTTCCTTTTAGATTTGTGTGTTTATTCTATTTCAAAAGATGCAAAAAAATATAAATATTTTTCATATTTTGTTCAAATCTTCTTGCTTTCTTAAAGGAACATTAGATAAATCTAAAAATTAAAGCCAAATTTAATATAAGAGCCTCCCTGGTAAAGCCGTGTAAAAATTATGAAACAATTTAATCCCTGCTGAACCATTAAACACTGAAGTTCCATTTTCAGTCATTTATTTATCGAGTTTCTGATGTCACACTTTTGCAAACAAACCCACAGCATCACAGGTCCTTCGCCATGCTTATTACAATAAATCTGAGTTGCTTTTCCACGTATTCAGCCTCTTTTTCACACAGTTCTAGTGTAGAAAACGCCAAATCCTCCGTTTCTGTTCGTGACAGCAGGACGAAAGCTGTGAAGTAGTGCTATGGAAACTCATATGAATTTGATGTTACATCACCAAACCTAAATGCCATGTTTTCCAGTCTTTTCCATTTTGAAGAGTAGCTAAAAGAAGCGTGCAATTACGCCTCCGGAAAACTGTTCACGAAAAAAAACAAACAACATTCAGTTAGGTTTTTAAGGCGACATTTTCTGAAACAATTATGTTGCAACGTTACATTAAACACTGTTTTTCTCCGTCATAATGAAAATAAGAATTTATTTGACATATTTCTATTGGGCTGCCAGGAAAAGTGATAGATTGTGTATAAATGAATAATCATTTTATGTCAGTCTACTGAAAACAAACAGGTTTTTTCTGTTCAGCTGCAGAGCAGGATTAATTGCTGGACTTAAATATTTATTTCTGTGAAGATAAGGAAGGAGTCAAAGATGTGCACATTAGGACTGGAAAATAATAAATAATAACATATAGATCAGCGCTAATTGCTGGCTTTAGTTTTCTAGATTTGAACGCTGAAGCCTGACGCCCCCGGATCGACTCTTTTCACCAGTGGGATTAGTGAGAGTTTCTCTTAAGCACAGCTGCTGCATTAAAGGCTGAAAAAAAGGTGAGTTAGACAATAAACTGTGTCTCTGTAGGAGTTTTAGTGAATCAGAAGTGAATCGGCTCCTATAGCTTCTCGTCTCCTTCCTCCACGTCCTTCAGGCTCAGCACCTCCAGAGAGCCTCGGCCTTTGGTCTCACAGCGGATCAACTCATCGATCTCCCGGAAGCAGCCGGGATCCACCAGAACCACCTGGCAGGGAGACAGGGAGGAAGGTCAGAGAGCAAAGGTCAGTGCAGAGGATAGCAGCAGCTACCCTTTGCTAGCTCTGGCTAGCAAAGGGTAGCAGAGATTAGAAGCGGTTACCGGAGGTAAGCAGCGGTCATCATGGTTCGCTCACCATTTCCAGCTCGTCGTCGAACTCCTCGCTCTCCACCACCTGCAGCAGCGGCTTCAGCTTCTCCCTCAGCCTCTTGGCCTCCTTGGCAGGCACCGCCAGCCGCAGCCGCATGTGGGCCCTCTGGATCTCCATGGTCTCCTTCAGCTGCCGGATCACTTCCAGGGCCTGGAGGGAGCAAACAGAGGGAACATGGAAGGAGCTGCAGATGTACAGTCCTGCCCAAAATCGGGTCCTTAGCAGAAAAGACATGATTTCACCAGAACTGTAAAACCGTCTTAAGTTTTACTTCACAAGATGCTCAGCAACAAACATTTAATTTTTTGTTACATAAAATTATGACTATATTCTCCTAATATTACTACTTTATTCTGGGAACGTTAATGCTTTTATTCTATTGTTGTACGACTGTATTCTTGTAGTACAATGACTTTATTCAGTTGACCAGACTTTAAAGTCCACATAAATAGAACAAGAAGAGAAATAAACAAGATGGTCACCCTGGGGCTGCTAACATCACTCTGACCCAATGAGTGCATTGGTGGGGGGGAAAATCTGAATTTTAAATAATTTTATCTCCAAATAGCAACAATTCTCTGCTTTATTATCAGAATAATTATTTAGTGCCAATTCAACACAATTCAGTCCAATTGACCCCAGTCTGTATTTCAACTCAGTTATTATGATGCTTAATTTCACTTTACTTCAGGTTTTGCTTCATTTTAGTGGAAAACATACTAAAAAGGGCTTCTAGAGAGACTTTAAACATTTTAAAAAGCTGATGGTAGCTGTGATTGTGTACGACGGGACCAGATATTTCCGCTTTCTGTTTGGAGTTGCAGAGTTCGGGTTTCCCTGCTGACCTGCTGCTTGGTGCTCTTGTTGGGCTTCACGGAGTAGTGGACGTCCTTCATCGCTCGCTCGATCAGGCCGACCGTGTAAGGCCTCTTGGTGTCTGGATTCACACACTTCTCCGCCACGACGGTTGCGATGTCTCTGAACGTCGCCTCCAGCTGGCTCTGCCTCTCCTTGTCGGACACCTGGAGTTCCCCTTTGGACAGAATCTGTCAAGAGACAAACGACAACAGAGCGAAAGGCTCAGGAAAACATCCCAACGCCAGGGTTAGAAACTCATCGTGCTCCATGTACCTGCTTGCAGATTTCTGTTTGGTCGCCTGTTCCAAAAGCTTTGACCAGATCATCCTTCTTCGCCATCTGACCTTTGGAGACATTGACAAAAACAGAGTGCGTCTGCAGCACCTCGTCCAGGTCCTTCTCTCTGCAGTAAAGACAGAAAAAAAACATTTGTTCCACCCAACGGTCAAAAACAAACCAAAACAAACCGAAACAACCCGCATTCTGCTTTCCAAACGGACAGACGACCCGTTTAAAGCCCTGAAAAGTCGGAGGAAAGCCCCGGATGTTGGGAGTTGTGGAGAGACTCACGCGCCTGATCTCCAGCTCATGACTTTATTTTTGTAACAAGCGATTTCGAACCGCTTCCCGCCCTTCTTCATCCGAACCACGGCCACGTTGGTCAGCCGGATCTGGTTTGTCGGAGTGAATATAGACATGTTCTCGCCTCATGAGACACTGGGAAAAGTGCCTTCGAATCGCCGAGGAGGTAAATAAGATATGACGTCACCGGCGCGTGTCGAGAAGAAGGATCCGGTGAGAAACAGCGAAATGTGAAATGACTGTTCCGCTTCCGAAACTCTGTCCATATCAGCGCCAAAAAAAAAAATATAATTTTAAAACAGCTATGTCTGTCTTCATTTATTACAGTAAACGGAAGCTATAATGACGTTCTTGAATCAGAAACGGAACAAATTACTAGTTATGTGACTAACTGTAAACACCGATGGGTTGATTTTGCTGCCCTCTTGTGGCTGTTAGAAAAATGTCAGAAACTATTTAACTGGCACCGACGTAAATTGTCAGAAAGACAATTTTAATGAGACAATTTTACATTTGAAGATGTCACGTAAATTTAATTAAACTTTTCTTTTCTCGTGACAGCAGAAAATGAAACCCTAATCTTCACCGCCTTTCTTGTTGGGTTGATCTGTATCTGCTCCCATCCAGTGGTCATTTAGAAGAACTGCGTTTTGCAGTTGTTACCTTTCAGATATACTGTAGATAAAAAATACATTTTTTAAAATTAAAATTTCTTTAAAGCACACAATCTTACTTAGAAATTAACATTTTCTGTATGAATGTTCAAAAATAAATGTGACTATTCAAAAATCGGGACAAAATCTGTCCCGATTTTTGAATTAAAAATTAAAAATTTTAAAGCTTTCTCTCGGATGGATTCCTAAATAAGCTGACAATAATAAAAATATAAAAAATGAATAATAATAATAATAATAATAATAATAATAATAATAATAATAATAATAATAATACACAAAACTTTGAGAAACTTAAAGAGCTGTGAAAGACTTCGACTCCCAGGATTCCTTGCGGCCAACCAACATGGCGGCGCACTACAGCACAAGCTAATGAGGACGCAGTATTTGAAAGTTTTCCCTTTTCGCAACCATGTTAGCTTTGTTTACAGTTATTTCCTCCCTGACGGGCTCTTTGTCCACCTCCGACACTAAAGGTGAGTTTATTTAAACGTTCGCTTTAACTGAAAAAACTCTTTTACGTTGTGGTGGCGATGACTTAAAGCGGGTTTTAAGGCTTTTTTGTGGTCTTGAGACGTTGAGCTGCTTTTTTGGTGACTATTAGACGAGTCAATTGGACGTTTGTTCTCCGTGTAGTCCCACAGGATGAAAACTATCTGCTGTGGACGTGGAACAACAGACTCTACGTTTATTCCGCTGCTGCGCTGCTGTTGGGTTTCTGCTTCTTGCTGCAGGTGACACGAAGGAAGGTGAGTCCCCCTGTCGTAGTGACGTCAGCGTCACGCAGCAGCATTGCTCTCCATTAATCCTCTCTGTTGTTGCCTTTTCAGATAAATCATACAAACGATTCTGGTTTAAAGGATTCTGGTTTGAAGGCTCAGAGAAAAAGCCAAACCAGCTCGGATAAAGATGCTGATGTTCATGTTTCAGGGGTGAAAATCTTCTACGGCTCACAAACTGGAACAGCAAAGGTACACAAATCCTCACATTGTGGAGAAAACACAAATACACAAACACAAGTCTCTCAAAATGGATTCCTTAGCCTTGACAATGTGAAATATACAAAGATTAGCTTGGGGTAGCCGTGGCACAAAATTACAGCAGCATATTGCAGTCGCTCCAGGTGGAAAAGAATGAAACCTTTTCTATGGAAAACTCAGAAAGTTTGAGATTATTCTCAGAAATTTTCTATAGAAAACAAGGATTTTTTTGGGGGGGGATTAAAAGTCAAAAAATTGCTCCAAAAAAATCATGAATGCTGAGATTATTCTCAAAAACTTTCGAGGAAGAAAAGGTGAAAAATGCTTTTAAAAGTTTTTAAATATTTTTAACTTTTCAAAATCAGATGTAATTTTTTTAGAATACTGAGATTAATGTAAAAGTTTCTGAGTTTGTTTGGGTGCAAATTTAAAGTAGCCCTAATAAAAAGTGTAAAATCTATTATGAAAATTTCTGCCAAAAATCTCAGACATTTCTACAATAATTTAACATATTTTTAACAAAAAATCGTCCATTTTCTGATGTAAATATGAAAATAAAACATCTTTTTTTTGTTAAAAAACTTACATTTCTGATATGAAAGATTCAGAAATCTGTGAGAAAAACTCCAGGTGTCAGCAAATGTTCCAATGTATTTCTGATAAATATGTGAAGTTATTCACATGTTTGCAGCTGTTCATGTGTGTTTCTCTGTCTCAGGGTTTTGCCTCAGAGCTCTCACAGGAGGTGCAGACTTTGGGTTTCCCAGCGGAGGTGATAGACATGAAGGACTACGACCCAGACGATCGACTTGCAGACGAGGTGAGCAAAGTCGGTCTCCCTCAAGAGGTGAAGTCGATATGGGGGAATTTTACTGCCATAAGTCGAGAGCACGCATTTAGAGTTCGAAAGCAGGACTTCATCTCTTTGTTCTCAAAACTTCTGCCCTCTCCCAATTCCTTGTGTTTGCGCTCAAACTTTCTCTGAAACTCGTCTCTGCACCGATTAACTCTCTGGTAACCGTCCCAGCCAAAAGAGTGAAATTGTTTTACTGGGCGACGGGAAGAAACTTCTTGCGTCTATAATAATACCAACTAGGGATGCACTGATTTATCGGTCGGCTGATTTATTGGCTTCACGTGATTTTTACACGTGAAGCCGACTTTATCTCCAGATTTTTATCAAGTGCTATCTTCTTCTGCTCTGCGCTGAGAGGTTTGACTAGCGGACCGGCCCACCAGATCATGTCTATATATTTGTAGTTAATAAGAGTCATTTCACTGTGGCAACTAATAAATTTATTGCTGGATTTAGCAACATTTTAGACAAAAGAAATTGGTATCCACCAAAATTGGAATCGGCAGGTCAGGATTTTTTATAGATTGGTGATCAGCCAGAAAACTGCAATCGGTGCACTGTAATGCTAACATTGTATTTTATTTATTTCTGTTTTATTCTCTGTGCTTAACATTTTTTTCCACAGAATATTTTACTGTGACGTGTCAGTAGATGGAATAAATTTCCACCAAACAAATCTCAGATTGAAAAGTCAGACTGAGATTGATCTGAACATTTCAGTTTCCCCGTTCCATGAAGGTTTCCTGCTTTCATTTCTGCGCTTTCTGTCTGTCTGTCTCCTTCAGTGCGTCAGTAAGTCCGTCTGCGTGTTTCTGGTGGCCACATACACGGACGGACGGCCCACCGAGAACGCCGAGTGGTTCTGCAAGTGGCTGGAAGAAGCTTCCACCGACTTCCGCTACGGAAACTCCTTCCTCACGGGGCTCCGCTACGCCGTGTTCGGCCTCGGCAACTCTGTCTACGTCGGCCACTACAACACGGTCAGCTCAGAACCAAACAGAACCAAAATGGCTCGACGGCTTCGTTTATTCTGCTGGTTCCGTTCCCGCCGCAGGTGGGTAAAAACGTCGACAAGTGGCTGTGGATGCTGAGCGCCAGGCGAGTGTTGAGCAGAGGAGAGGGCGACAGCAACGTGGTGAAGAGCCGACACGGCAGCGTTCAGGCGGACTTCCGGGCCTGGAAGGTCCGGTTCCTGAGCCGCCTCAAGGCTCTGGCCAGAGGGGAGAAGAAGAGCTGCAGCGGGAGCTGTAAGAGCGGCACTTCCTGCAAGAACAGGAAGAAACACGGAGCGCAGGAGGAGGAGGGGGACGAAGCCCAGGTAACAGAAAACTGATGACAAAATCTGACCGAGGATTTTTTTCTGGTTTCTCATGCAAATATCTCAAAATAAGACGAAACTAACATACGTTATTTTCAGAATTATGTCGTTTTTTGATAAAATTAAAGGCTTTTAAGTGAAATTTGTTGTACAGGAAACACAATATAAGAAACTTTTCGATAGCGAGACTCAAATCTTTCTGTGTCCTTTGATTCGATTCCAAGTTTTAAATTCAAACAGTTTAGAGATTCTGCTTCACCAAGAATTATTCCAAATATAATTTTACAGAATAATAAGCGGACTAAAATACATTTTTGAATTGATTCAGAAATGCCAGGACGAGAAGTTGAGCTTAAGATTTTTAAAAGTATTGCTAAATTATTTGATTTATAACATGGGAAAATGTCTTGTTATAAATGAAATAACCTGCCAGTGAAGCTGGTCAAACACAGAAACTAAAAATAAACTTTCCACAAAAAATAAATGAAAATACATCCTAACAGTTTGTTTTAGAGTTATTTTCACACGGTGATAACATCCATCGTGTTGCTAGTCTGGTTAAAAAAGGGCCTTTTTCATTCTCGTCTCCTCAGAAACATAGACATGCAGTTAATCGATCGCTTTGAACCAGTTTTCACTGACGCTGCGTTTGCTAATTTACAGCGAGGGAACGTAAAAGAAAAGACAAATCCCATGTTCTCAGAGAGACTCTGGAGAATAAAGAGTAAAATAATGATTTATGCTTCAGGTGGAGCTGATTGAATCCAGCAGTGAGGAGGAGGGAGAGTCCGGCTTGTCGGATGAGAAAACGTCGCGCTCCTTGGTCGACGTGGAGGATCTGGGCAACATCATGAATAACGTCAAGAAAGCAAAGGTTAGGTTTCTCCCACGATTAAAACGGCTTTTTGAATGTGTGCAAAACGTAACCAATGTTCCAGTAATGTAAAAAAACACAACTTTGTAACTGCATTGTTTCCGTTTACCATTCCAGGACGAAAGTAGCTCCAAATTCGCAGCATCATAACTCCGCCACACTTTACGACATCTGGAAAGTTCTGAAAAAAAAGGAGAGACGTTACGCTGTCCAGCCAATGTCGGGTTATTACTAGAGGTGTGCCGATCGAAAAGCGTATGATCGGCGTTATTTATCTCGCTGTGCAGCCTGCGTGTGCAGCTCATCTCCTCTCTCCTTCACACTGCGCCATCGCGCAGCAACAAATCCTGTCGTGTGAAAACTTACAGTGAACGAGAGTGAACGGGGAAGTTTGTGTGCTGAGGGGGAAGATTATCACGGGATGAAGCGAGTCAAAATGCATCAGCAAATTTGATCTAATATGACACTTAAACACTTGACGGAGTTCGGCAGGAACAAAAGGACATCCGGAG